TGTTTTGAACAGGCCATCTCCTTCCCCAAACTGACCACAGGCAAGGACATAACTGCAGAGCAGGGCAGGAGGGAAGCGCCCAGCCTCGCGTAGAGGCTCCCAGGAGCAGCAGCGGCAGCTGAGCGTGCGGGGAGCTCGCCGTGCCCGCGGCAGCTTTCCTGCCACGGAGAGCTTTTCCTGAGCCTGCCGCGGCGGGTGGGTCTGTTCCTGCCAGCAGCCAGCAGCTGGTGATGAATGCTCACTTTCTCTAATTGAATAGCAGGAAGTTAAATCTTGTTTCTTTGCCTTTCAGGCTGTCAGCTGGAACAATTGCCCACCTGTGGCACCACCCCGGGGATATAAATAAGGAACAAAACACAATGCTGCCAGAGGAATGGACTGCGTTCCCAGATCTCCTGATACTCTGTGCCATATTGTGTGCCCACACGAGAGAGGGAGAGAGGGAGAGAGGGATTCGCGGGCAGCCGCGCAGGCAGGGCTGTGGGAACGGGCTCGGGGTGCTGGGAGCGAACGCGCAGAAGGCACGCACAGAATGCAGCCGCAGCGTGCCAGAAGGTGTGTGCACGAGCAAGAGTGTGCACAGGGGTTTGTGCACAGCTATCTAAGTGCTTGTGGGTCAGGACAACCACCAGAGACCCACTACCAGGCCAAAATCCCCTGCAGCAGCTGGGGTGGCTGCTGCTCCCGTCCTGCACGCCGAGCTCGTCCTGCAGCTGCTCTGCATCCCCGGCACCAGGCGCAGAGGCGAGGGCGTGCTGGGGGCTGCCCCGTGTGCTCGCTTTCCCGTTTCACCAAGCAGGCTGCAGAGCCCAGCGCTCCTTCCCGCAGCCGCGCGTTCCCTCGCCGCCACCCAGTGTGCTTCCCCGCCACCTCCTGCACTCGCACCATCAGTTCACAGCCGGGCCCCGCTCTCCGGGATGCTCCCGAGGCGGCCGTGGCAGCTGGGCCGAGCCTGACGGTCACACACAGCTGGAGGGAGCCCGGCTGGGGGCGAGGACGGGGGAACCGCCGTGCTGCAGACCCTCCGTGCACAGCAGGAGAGGGGGGGAGCACGTCTGGGAGGGCAGCGGGGAGACACCGGCACACACACACACACACACACACACACACACACAGGCCGACATTGTTGCCGTGAGAGGAAATTATTAATTTGCTGGGAATAAAGTCGGCATCGAGTCAAAAAAACCCATCCTCCCGGAGCGCCGGAGAAAAGCCTCTCCTCCCTCCCCCTCGCGCCCTCCCTGCGAGCGGCCCTGTCGCCTTTGTACTGCGAGACAGGCCCGACACAAGGGCGTCTGTCTGGGCACCACGTCCCCACGCCGGGATGAAACGCGGCCCGGGCTTCACCCAGACACGCCGAGGGCCCTCGCTCCCCCCGCGGGCTCGGGGCGCCCTGACCCGTGCTCCTGCCTCCCCGGCCCCGCGGCGGGGGGACGCGGCCGCGGCCCCCTCGCAGACAGCCCGCTGCCCGCCAGCCCTTTGTCAGTCGCTGTGGTAACAGCCGGGGCACAAATGCCGCTTCCCTGTTTGTTTTCCCCCTGCCTCCGTGGCGGGGGCGGCCGCAGCCTCCCTCCCTCCGGCTCCCTGAGCGGGAGCCGGGGTATTCAGGGCTCAGCAGCCTGAATGAAGCCAGATCCCTGGACGCATTCCTGTGGTTTTTTTTTTTTTTTTTTTTCTTCCTTTTTTCTCTTTATTCCTCCCTCCCCCCCCCCCTCCTTCTTCTCCCTCGCTTGGCACAAGCTAAAGGATTCAAAAGGAAGCCAGGCTTGGCAGACACAGGGGGAGGAGGGAGTGGGGAGATGAAAGAAGGCCTCTCTCCAGCTTTCTCTTCCAGTTCCCACACTCAGCCCGGCGCAGAGCGCTCCTAATGATTCCCAGCCGCACCTGGAGGAGGCCGCCTGGCCGCCGAGGAAGCGGGGGCCTATTTATACAGCCAGCAGGAAAGGCCCCCAGCGCCCCAGCCATGCTGTTTGGTGGCCCTGCAGCCCCGCAGCCCCACGGCCTGGCCACCCCGGGCTGCTCGGTGCCCAACACGGCCACCCCGCCATCGTGCCCAGGGTGGCCACCCTACCGTGCACCCGAGAGGCCTGAGGTGCCACGGTGCCCGAGATGGCAGCCCTGCCTCTGCACCCAAATAGCAGCCATGCCACGGCACCACCGTGCCTGAAATGGCTGTCCCTTCTCTGTGCCACGCCGGCACCTGCAGCCATGGTGCTGCATGTGGAAACTGGTGCTGAAAAGAACAAGAACACGGCCGTGTTCCCAGCTCGGGGGGCTCCCAACCCATGTCCTTCCCCATGGGGTGTGAACCCCAACGAGGTGGGGGGCTGGGGGCAGGGATGGCTGCGGGGCTGGGGGCAGTGATAGCTACGGGGGCAGTGACAGCCATGGGCTGGGGGTAGCGATGTCTGTGGGGGCAACAGTGGCCGTGGGGGTGATGGCTGTGGGGCTGGGGGCAGCGATGGCTGTGGGGCAGTGATAACCAGGGGCTAGGGGCAGCTCTCCCCAGCCGCCCTCCTGCAGGAGCGAGGACGCCCGTGGGGGTCCGCAGCCCCCGGCGCCCCCTCGCGGCCCCCTCCCGGCACCGCAGCCGGCCCCGGCCCCGGCCCCGCCGCAGCCCCGCTCGCCCCCGGCCCCGCCGGGGAGGGCTCTGCCGGCTCCGCAGCCCCCGGCCCCTCCCCAGGGAACGAAGGCTCCCGGTGCTGCCTGGCACCGTGCTGCCGGCGGAGCTTTTGGACACAGATTTTGCTGCAGGAATGGGAAAATGCGAGGAAACATCCCCAGCTCCAGCTCCCTGCCCTGGACAGAGCCAGAAAAATGAGGCTGGTTTTCAGTGCTCAGCTCCGCTGGTGGGAAGGGGACACAGCTGCCTGCACTTATGGGGTCTTTGCCATTTGCGTTTGCTCCAGCCCCGGGGTTCTCCAGCCTCAGGGTTCCCTCAGCAGCACGGAACAAAGCAGGAGCTGAGCCCTCCACCAGGCTCCACACCTGGCTGAGCCCGGGCTGGGGGCAGGGGGAGCAGCAGAGCGACCCCCGCACCCCACCGAGGCCTCCTGCCAGGGGCCATGGATTTGACAGGAGCGCTCGCTGCGTGCTGCAAGGAGCCAGCGGGCGCGGGGCTGCCTCCTGGCAGAGGGACAGGCCTCCATCAGCGGGGCGAGGAGCAGCTCACACGCGTCCCCTTTGAGTCACCACTTCGTTGGTGGCCTCCCCGGCGCAGGCGGCTGGGCCCCGCCAGCCCAGCACCGCTCGGAGGAACCATTTTAGGCTCCGGTGACAGAGGCATCAGCAAACGCTGCTATAAATAGCGGTGTCGAAGGAACGAGGCGGTCAGGCCATCCAAATCCTGGCACAGCCCCACCAGCGCTGATAGCGAGTGCCCTTTGCTTGTTCTCCTGCCGCCAGGTCCTCTCATCTATTCTTCCAGTGTTTCTGTCATCCTGTCACCGGCTCCCCTGCCCTGACATTTTACTCTCCGGCGATGGCTGCGGGTCCCTGGCCGCATGTTTTGGCTCCTGTTCTGTGCTCCAGAAAGGACAGAAATGACGTGCGCTGCGGGGACGAGGTGCAGCCCTGCCAGTGCAGCCTGTCCCTGCCAGCACTGCGGGGACAACCACATGGCCCCTGCACGCCAGGGGGCACACGGGCATCACCACGGGGATACGGGGTTTCACTGCACTTCGGAGGACTCCTGGATTTCTGCTTTTCTTCTGCAAGGAGCAGGAGTCACCCTCCAGACCTGATGTTACCGCTGGATAATTCTGAGCTCTGTTATGGTGATGGGGAAACTGAGGCAGGGAGGGGTCAGGCCCTGCCCTGCCTGCACTCTGCCCAACTGCCCTGCCATGGTCATCGGGGCATCACACCCTCACCTACAGGCCCCACACGTTCTCGGGGTTAAATCGTGGGCTTGTCACAAAAAGCAGTTCTTACTGCTTACAGCCACGATCACCTTGTGAACATCTGCGCTGACAAGAGCTGAGAGGCAGCATAATGCTCCCTCAGTTCTGCCTCCGCTTTCTCCTCCTCCATGTCCTTTATTTTAAAGCACTCTCACTGCAAAGCCCTTTGATGCCTGATGAAGGAAAAATCTCAGAAAACAGGCAACAGAAACAAAAACTCAGGCTGGCAGCACACCAATGACAAACCCTCCCCCTTCCCTCCCTGCCCAGCACTGCCCCGTGTCTCACGCCGGTCCCCAGGAGCTCTGTGTGGCTTTGCACGGACATCAGAGCCAGCTCCTGGTGTCTGCATGGACATCCTGACCTCTCCGGGCTTGGTGAGCCCCTGGACTTCTGTGGGTGCAGTGGGGGACTTACTGGACTTACTGGTGCTGGAGTTTGATTTTCCCCCCAGGCAGCTGGAGGACGAAGGGGCAGGACTGGGGGTGGGCACAGGGAAAGTGCCCCCAGCAAACAAGTCTGCTCCAGAACATCCTGCTGGGGGCCATGCAGAGGTGCTGCCCTGGGGCCTATGGACATTCCTCAGCTATATTTGGCGAGGGATGGAGAATTTGTTGCTTCCCCTTAACCCATCTGTTCTCTTTATTGGCGGGGAGGAGCCAACACCAGAACTGCAGTGTCGCTGTTCGGATAAACCCGGTACTTCAGCAGCAATAAATCTCTTCTAAAAAGCTTTTGCTGCCTCCCACCTGTTGGCTGGGAGAAGATCAAGTTGACAAAAGTCTTCTGCCAAATTGTATTTTTATCCAGGACTTCATCACCAGTCCTGGTTTCAATAAAAGCCCGTTCACGGAGCAGAGGGAGGTTTCACAGCACATCTCTGCCTTGGAATCCCACCTCTCTCTCCCACCACTCTCCAGCTCCCAGGTAGCTGCTTTTGTTACATGTTCTGAAATCCCTTAAGTCCCAAAAGGCCCTTTTTCCTCTAATCACCCCCATCCCTCCACCATAAAGCCTGGGAGGTCCCAAGCAGGGACCCCAGACTCTTGCTGCCTGCACCAGGGAGCCAAAATCCCCATTGTGAGAACGGCAATAAAGTCGGGCTGGGACCAACACAGTTTATTACAGAAAAACACCCAAAGGGGTTTCATTATCATGGCAGTTCGTTTACAAGAAGAAACACTGGAGAACAATGAGGTGAAACTCGCAGCAGTGACATGCAGCAGGGAAGTCCATTTGGTGGCCAGCGCGGAACAAAAGGCACGGCCGCACGGGCGGTCAGACACAGCCAGCCCCGGCAGGCGGCACGGACGGGCACACGAGGACAGGACACAAGCAGCAAACCCACGCCCGCCGGTCAGTGGTGGAGGAGAAAAAACACGTCGGAAGCCACACGGGTGAAAGCAAACGGAGCAGCCATCGCGGGAAGGGAAAATCCTAAAATCCTCCCAGTGCAGGAGGGATGCAGGAGGTGCAAAGGGGGCTTGTCTCACCTGGGGAGCGTTTCCCGAGCCCCATGTCCCCCGAGCTGCCCTGGCAGCAGGCAGACCCTAAGCAGAGTCCCTAACACAGCTGCCCACACTGTGCTGCTGCCCTCGGGCTCGTGCCCAGCTCCCTGCACATCCCAAGGCCATCCCATCCCATCCCATCCCATCCCACCAGCCTTGCCTCCCGAGGGCTCACTGGTGATGCCGTTCCCCTCGCAACGTCACCTCCCAGTCTGGCAGGAGCCTCTGCGAGCTGAGCTTGGCCAGGCTTCCAAAATGGGATCTTCAGGAAACACCTTGGAAATGTTTACTGGGAGGCCAGGCTGTTATCCCCCGCCTCTGCCAAAAAGGGCTGCGAGATACCGCTCAGATCCCAGTATCTGGGGTTCACATTAAAAAAAAAAACAACAAAAAAACAGGACCTTTTTATAGACCTGTACATTAACAGATGTGTTACTGCAATACTCATTGCTTTCAAGCCTTCTTTTTGTTTGGATCTCAGACCTTCCTCCGAGGCGTTTGTCACCCAGGTGTGACAAATAACAGTCTGTCAAGGTGAAGGAGTCGGGGAGTGGAAAAGTGCAATTTGTTTTTCACTGCTAGAGCAGGATTTAGTGCAATGAGAAAACAGTCTGCAGGGCCGATGAGGGTATCGTTAGCTTGTTGGGGTATTTGTCAGAAGCGCAATAACCACTCCAGCCTCATGGCTGGGAAAGGCTGAGCTTTTAGCTGAAGCAAAGTCAAGCCAGGGACAGACAAATACCTGGGAAAACTTCAGCCCATGGAACTGGCATTTGCAAAGTTGGAAGCAACTGAAAATACCATCTGATACCCATGGGCACCCTTTGTGCCCAACCGTGGCATGCTCTGCCTTGAAGAAGTAAAAATAATAATAATAATAAAGCAAAACACAGCAGTGGTATTCTTTACATTTTCATCCTGAGTGTGTCCTTCGGGACATGGCTTTGTGCAGTAATGTCAGTGTGGTTTTCACAGGGATTTTGGAGCAGCACTCCAATTGGTTTCTCTTCCTGATTTTTAATCAGAGATTTGGTTCTTTCTCACAGCATCACGAGCAGAGGTGTCTATTTTAGGAAACACTAGAGGTTTTAAGAAGCTGAGGAGAAAAAGATTGCCAATTCCTACAGGCTCAGCTTAGAGAGGGGAAAAAATCCTTTAATTAAACCCCCAAGGCTGAAATTCTCTGCAGATTTATCTAAATGGATTTCAAATGATGTCCCTAATATGTTGGGGCCTGCTTTTACCTTAACTCAAGCCCTGGGCTTGTGTCTGCAGACCCTGGAAGGCACACGCAAGAGTTGGGCTTTGGATGTCTTACCGAGATGTTTTTTTTAGTGCCAACTCATCCAGCCGTGGAACCCACATTTAAAAACCTGGGCCCATGGCACACTGGCCCAAAGCTCCAAGCAGATAAATGTTTGTTGTTTTGTTTTTTTAATATGTGTTTGTTTCTATTTTTCCGAATTCCAGTGTATGAAAGAAAAGCTGTGCAGCTGACAAAACCTTGGTGGGAGGACAAAGCCGTGAGAGGTTTTCTCCTTGGGGAGCAGGTGCCGGATCTCCCTTGGGTTTCCCAGCAAGGGAACAAAGTTAGGGGTTCACTTTAGTGCAAAGGGACGGCATTTTGCTTCAAAGCTGCACGAAAGGTGTTTTTTTTTGTGTGTGTTCCTAACTTTCCAGTTCAACAGCTCACCCTGAAAATTGGCTCTTTAAATCAAAACTTTTGGAAATCACCCGGGGTTTGAAGAAGGGTCAATAAGGTGAAACCTGCCCGGCCTGAGCAGCGCACAAAAACCAAGACCCGTCCTCGAGAGAAGCAAGTGCGGACGAAGGGGGAAGCGCCTCGCGGGAGGCAGCACGAGGGAAGGGGACAACGTCAGGACACCGCAAAAACACCGAGGCTGAAGGAGGCTGCGGCAGCCTCCTCCTCCTCCTCCTCCTGCACTGGGCTCCCACCAGGATCGGCCCAGCTCCGCGCGTGCTGTTCCCTACTTGCTGTTCTGGGGCTGCTTCTCCTGCGCCGGCCGCTTGTGCTTCTGGGCGACGCCGTAGGGGACGTGGGCAGCAACGGTGCCCATCTCCTTGGCTCCCTCCACGTGGAACATCTGGTCGTCGAAGAAGATGTGGGGCCGGATCTTCTTCAGCAGCGGCCCCTTGGGAGCCCCGGCCAGGAACAGCGCCTCGTCCGTCTCCAGGCCCCAGCTGCGCAGAGTCTTTAGGGCCCGGGCTCCCGAGCTGGCGGCGCTGCGGGCTGTCACCAGGTAGGTGCGGATGGGACACTCCATCCTCAGCCCCTTGGAGTAGAACTTCTTCTGCAGCTTCCCCAGGGCCTCCAGGAAGCCCTTCAGGGGTCCCTGCCGGAGCAAGGGGCAGCCGTCACTCCGAGACCACCGTGCCGACCCCTGCTCCCAGCACCCAGTCCCACCGGGGCTGGGCACGCTGGCCAAGCCCTTGTCCCCACAGCCCCCCAGAAGTGGCACCGAGGGGCAGCGAGAGCCATCCCACAGCCCCAGCCTGGCAGTGCCAGCCCCCCAGCCCCATCGCGCTCCCCATGGTGCAGCCGTCCCTGCGGGCTGCCTCTCCCCCGGAGCCTTTTCGGGCTGCACCGTGCCAGGACGCCCAGCGCTACCTGTGCCAGAGGCTTGTTCTCGTGAGCCTTTTCATGCTCAAAGAACATATCCAGGCCGTGAGCCTTCACGATCTGCTCCGACTCATCCGAGAAGAGCACGGCGTCACCAGTCGAACGCCACCCGCAGCTGGTTCTCCGACACCTCCAGGTCTTTGCTGGGGCTGAAGATGGTGGCTGCGGCAATCCCTGGGGACACGAAGCGCACGGTGAGAGGTGGCACCTACCCGAGGACCCAGCCACACCGCTCGTCTGTTGAGGAGCAGAGCAAAACACAGCAGGCTGCAAGCAAACACAGGGAGGAAATGCACGCACCAAACAGCGCCTGCAACTTGGCCCTGAGACCTCTCACAGCAAAAACAAGAGCTGAAATGACAGTGCTCACTTTGCATGCAAGAATTAAAGGGGGAAGACAGCGCCTTTGCACCAGAAGAGCTGTGGAGCCCAAGGAAAGCCTTATCCCCATGGAAACTGGAGGCTCTTTGGAGCATCAAGGACATCCCATCCTAGACGGGACGTGGTGCAAGCCACCCCACCTGCACATCGACACGGGGACACCGGAGTTATCGCTCCTGGCACCGACCCCTGTGGGCTCTGGGCATCCCCCCCAACCCCCAGGCTGGACCCCAGACTCACCCTCTTCAATGGCCCCACTCACTTTCTCGGCGTCGGAGGAGAGGTAGAGGTTGGTGTGGTAAGCCTTGAGGTAACAGATGGGGCTGTTCCCTCCCGTCATGCAGAACCTCTCGATGAACAGATCTGAGGGCAGGTGGACAGCGGGGTGAGCCCGGCAGCCCCAAAAAGTGCCAGCTTCCACTCAGAGCCCAGGAAGATCGGGAGGAGCGGGCTCAGCACACGATTTGGTGGAAGAGACAGGAGCAAGCATCTCCGTAACCCGCTGCCCAGCCACAACACCCCCCCAAAAGCTGGCAGCACCTGCAGAGGATGCTCTGTGCTGAGCTCACCGTAGTGGTTGATGCTGTTGATCAGCCGCACCCCGACCTGCGCGTGGTTGTTGGTCATGAGGACGATGTCGAAGAGCTCCTCGCTGTCGGGGTAGAGCTCGCGCAGCTGCGTGTTCACCGCTTCCAGCGCCTGCAGCACCGGGGACAGGAGGGTCAGCGAGCCCCGGGCACGGCCCTGCCGCCCTCCTCACCGAGCACAACTCCTGGTCACCAAAACCAGGGACCTGCCCCAGCTGCGCCCTGAGCCACGCAGACATCAGTGAGTGGCTTCAGCTGGGAAAAAAGGGGCTGCACTGGGGAAAAAAAATAAATCACACAGCCACCCTTCTACTGCCTGAAACAGGCTTCGAGTTTCTGATAGGAGCTGAGATTGCATCAGCTCAGTTACAGAGAAGGGCTTCTCAAGCAGTCAGGATGGGAGTAAGTCTCTCCCCACCACGGGGATTTGCTTATTCATTGGGAAAAGGTGAGAGATGGCTCCAGTGAGGGCCAGCAGAAGAAACCGCACCAAACCCAGCAAAACTGGGGCAGAAATTGGAAAACATATTTGAAATTTGAAATGCCTCATTTTGACATGTCAAAATTAGAAACTGGCCAACTGTGCAGCAGGACTAAATTCAGCCAATTTTATTGTCAGAGAGCGAGATGAAAATTCCCTAAATGGAAGCTTTAGATATGATCCAAAGAGATGATTTCTTCAATTCTCGGGCTCGTTGGCCAATCTGGAGCACTCAGCATTCCCCCAGCCCTGGAAGCAGCACATCCTCGCCAGGTTTATCCGCACTGCTTGCTGTGTGGGTACGTCCCTCATTTCCCATCCCTTCTGCGTGTGCAGCGCCCCACGGTGCCCCCTCGCCCCAAAATTCATGGGTGGGGTTCAGCTTATGCGGGCAGACGCTCACCTTGACGAAGGGGAAGGCAGCCCCGGGGAGGAAGGGCTCGTTCTCATGGTCCAGCTGGTATTTCACGTAGGCCTCCACCCCTTGCTCGTTGTAAATCTTCTGCTCCTCCTCCATGCGGAAAAGCGCCCGCGACGACACCGCGATGGTGATGGCATTCTCGGGCTTCGGCTGCGTGCAAAGGGTGAGACTGGGGGGCAGCCCACGCTGGCGGCCCCCCTGCTTGGAGGCAGCGGCCAGCCCCCACCAGGACAGCCCAGCCTCTTTGGGGTGGCTGCACTGACCAGGCAGCTGCCCCCACATCCTGCCCTGCTCCAGGGGAGAAGCCCTGCATGCACCCTGACGCGCTGTCCCCACACATTCGGATACCCAAGGCCCCTTTTCCGAGGCTTGCCCCATGTTCAAGCCCTCCCATGGCCAACAGGCTCCTGGGACACGTCCAGACCCAGGAGAACCACTTGACCCCGCGCAGAAGGAATTTGTGTGGCTTTTTCCCTCCTGCCAGGAAAAGCCACACGCTGCGGCTCGGCCAGACCCGCACTCCCGTGCTGCCGTCCAGATGTGATGAACAGCCCATGCCAGCTGAGCGTGTAAACACACCCGATATAGTTATTGTGGGCGGAAACACGACAAACAGGTGGTGCGAGCCATGATTTATGAGTCATTATTATTAATGCTCGTGCACCTGATCCAACATCCACCAAAGTCAACAAGGGGCCGTCGGTGGGACTTGGCAGCCGGAGGGGGACACCACAAAAGTCGGGCTCCTCTTGACCCCTGCCGGTCCTCCCTCTCCCCTGGGAGGGCGTTAATCCCCACCACCACCCTGCAGCCTGAAAGCCAGCTCATTGCTGATGGCCCACAAAAATCCCCTCTGCCAGCAGAGCGGATCCCAGGGCGGAGGGCAGCAGAGGCAGCCCCGCTGCTGGGAGCGGCTCGGGGTGCTCGGGGACATCCCCACAGGGAGCCTGTGAAATCCAGGCCGTCAGCACTGCGGAAACACCTCGCCCTCAGCTCCTCCGTGATTTCCAGGATCATGCAGCACATTGCCTGTGAGTAATCCCCCAGCGATGCCGCTTGCCTGGAGGCGGAGGGTGCCTTCTCCAGCCCGCTCTGCACACCCAGGTGCTCCAAAGTTCAGGCTCCCACCCTGCGGAGGGCTGGGCTTTGCGACAACAGCAGCCTGGCAAGGACGAGCTGCCCCATCCGCACTGGGGACCTTCTCTCCCCGCAGGGCTGGGCCTGCCCTGGGGCTCGCTCTGCCCCACGCTGGCTCTGCCGATCCTGCCCGGCACAGACGCGCCCAGCAGTGACTCACAGCAGCCCCCGTGCCATTCCCAGCACTGCACCACCCCACCGGCAGTGCCCGGGGCCAGCCCTGCAGCGTGGTTGACGCCTCTCCGAAGCTGCATCGGTACCCAAAATCCCCAGCAAGCAGATTAAGCAGTGGGCGATTAGGACCAGATACAGATTAGCTCAGCCTGAGAACATCGCTGTGACCAGAGGGACTCTTGTAGAGAAATAAAATCCCCTTTTGAACCAGCTCTTTTGGGAAAGAGGCATTTGTTGTTCTTTTTTTTTTCCCCCCCAAAGCAGACTTTTTTTTCCCCCCCAGCTTTTAGGTTGGATATCAGGAGAAGTTTCTGTACTTAAAAGGTTTTGCAGCCCTGCAGTAGCCGCCACCATCCCTGGAGGTCTTCAAGAAACAGGTGGATGCAGAACTCAGGGGCATGGTCCAGTGGTGGACTTGTCAGCGCTGGGTTAAAGGTTGGACTAGATGATCTTAGAGGCCTCTTCCAACCTGAATGATCTCTGATTCTCTGAACAACCCCCAGGACACGCAGGGTTATCCAAGCACACGTGGGAGTGGAGCAGCAGCAGCAGCATCAACCCTCAGGAGCGTCTCAACCCCACCGCACACTCAGCTGCCTGGTGGGTGTTAGCTATTAACTGGTTATGGGCCAAATCTCAGCACTCTGCCTCATTAATTAATAACTCCGGTGTCATGGCCCATTTATTACCTGAAAATATTAATATTAATAACCTCTAAAGGCTTTGGGGCATCCGGCCATTAGCCTTCAGCGAGGAGCGTGGCCACTGCGCGGTAAGGAGAGGTTTGGTCCCGGTGGCAGCGCAGCACCTCCTGCCCCGCCAGCCCAGCACCGACAGCAGCTCAGCGGCACACACAGCACCCAGGCGTGCTGGGGGGCTGGATGTGTGTGCAGGGCCCCCGGGTGCCCGGCCCGAAGCTGCACCACGCTGCACACACCTTGCAGCGGCGGGGCCAAGAGCGCAGGCACCTTGCGCAATGGCAGCAAGCTGCTCAAGGTCCCTTCCCTGCCATTTAAAGGCACAAGCCTCCAGGAGGTTAATTTAAGAGGTAATAAACACAGCAATAAAAATAACCGTGAGCTCGGGGCCTTCCTCTGCCCAGGCGTGGGCTGCCGGAGCCCCAGCCGCCTGCGGGAAACCTTTGGGAACGGGACCTGCCGGATCCTGCTCGCGCCCGCCGCGGAGGCTTTGCCCCTTTGAGCACTTTCTGCAGGAAAGCCTCGGCGAGGCACCAGCACAGCTCGCAGCCCCGGCAGCCCTGCTGCGCTCTGGGAAACGCTGACTGCTCGGGAACAAGGCGATTCTGCTCTGCAGGGAGGGGGGATGCATTCTGACATTGCTTTGAAGTGGAGATTTCATTTGGAAGCGTTCCCTCCTCCAGGTTGTTTGGATGCATCTCCATCCCCGCTGGTACTGCAGATGGTCATTACCACGCTCGAGAAGTGGCTTTTAGGAAGTCACGGCACTATGGGAACCACAGCACCTTCAACTCCTCCACCAGAGCTCTGTCAACAACCCAACAACCCCCATTTTGCCTGTGAAACTCCACAGTTCTGGGAGAAAACACCCTTCATTTTAATAGAAAGTGTGCGCATCCCACAGCCCTTGCTGGGCTACGTTTAGTCCCACGAGGCTCGTGGAGCCTGCACAGGGCCCCCTCCCAACACAGCCTCCAGCTCTGGCAGGTTTGGGCACCCCAAGTGCCCTCGGAGCAGCACCCAAGGTCAGCCAAAGCTGCTGCAGCCCAGTGCCCCACAAAACCCCCAGGAAGCGGCCGTGGGGCTCTGCTCAGCCGAATCCAGCTGAAGCTGTGCCTGGGGATTCAGGGTCAGCTCCTCTCCCTTCTTCCCTTCCCATGGGAAGCCACATCCAGCCCTGTCCTGAAGCTCCCCCAAGAGATGATTGAGGTGTTTAACAGAGGTGTGAGCAGGATGCAGGGGGGGAAGGTCCCATCATAACCCCTGGTGCATCTCTGGGCTCAGCCCAGACAGGAGGGACCCGTGCCGACAGCCCAGCCCTTGGCACAGCCTCAAGGTCCAAACCCCACCCCAGACATAAGTGACCTCCCAACACGCTCCAGCTCCTCGAAGCACCAAACCCAGCCCAAACGCTTCAGTTTGGACGTAAAGGTGTGTCCTGCAGTGAGCAGAAACGCCACGTTTTCCTCCGCAGCCCCAACAGCTGGCAGGCCTTTAAATCGCCCTCCTAATCGCACGTAAATCCCTAGTGGCCCCCCAGGGATTAGAGGCAGACATTTGGAAATCCCACACGTTCCCAGGCCACGCAGCGGAGCTGTGCCCTCCCACCCCAGGTGCCCCCCATGCCCCCAACACCGGCAGCTCCCGCTGGCACCCCCCGAGGCCAGGCAGACCCAGCCTGCAGCAGGTGCAGCAGGTAATTCTGCACCGCCTGGGGCTGATCCTGGTCCTGCAGGACACACCTCCACCCAGAACCCCGGAGCGATGCTGCTGGCTCCAGGCTGGCTCCTGCAGAAGACCTTGTGGTGAAATTCAAGGCTTGGAGGTGAATTCTGGTGTGAAACTTGAACACAAAAGGGAAGCTGGGGTCAAGCACAGGTCTCCTTGCAAGCTAAAGCATCCCAAAAGTCACTGCACCAACACCTACAGAGAACCCAGCCCAGGAGGCACCCCCTGAGCCGGACGGGTCCCCGTGGGCACAGGGGACTGGAGGGGCAGGGGACGAGGGGCACCCGGAGAAGGGGAGCAGCAAAGCACAGCTCCCAGCAGCCTGGCCTCTCCTCCCCACACGGTGTCACTGGAGATGCTGGGGGACATTTTCCACATTGCTGAAGGGTGACAAGGCTCCCTGCTGACCTCCCCCAGCTGGCAGGAGCGAGGCTGGAGCAGGCGTGGGAGCCAGGGCGCGGGAAGAGCAGAGACCCCTGCAAAGCAGGGAGCCCCCCCGGCTCCGGGGATGCTGTGTTAGCCCATTCCCCAGCCAGGAACGTGCTCCCAAAAACGTGCCCCAAATCACCCTGCCTCCTGCCAGCCCACCTGCAGGGAGCAGCAGGACAGGAGGACAGACAGACGCAGCCGAGGACAGACAGACCCAGCAGCACCCACAAGGGCACAGGCGGCCGGCAGCAAACCTCATTTCCCGCAGGCACAAAGAAGCCCTGGGAGCTGCGAGCCCCCTGCTCAGGATCAGATTAAAGTTCAGGGCAATGGCTGGGATGTTTCTGAGTTTTCAGAACACATTATTTATAATGCAGAAAAGTGCTCAGCAGCCATCCATCACGGGGCACGACAGCTGCCTGGCAGGGCTGTGCAGCCCAGCTGTGTGTGAGGGCAGCCGAGCTGCCCGGCCGCGGGCACGGGGACACAGCCTGACACGGGGAAGGGTGCGGGCATCGGCCCCCGCCCCGCACGGATGGGGGGCACAGCCCAACCTCGGGGCCTGAGTGCCTGGATCCTCGCTCTGCCCCTGGTTTGCCACGCCATGCCCCGTGCCTCAGTTTCCCCACACACACAGCAGAGACGGGCACGGTGGGCACCGAGCGTGCTGCCAGGAGAGGCTGAGGAGGAGCTCAGGCAAACGCCTGCAGGAGGCTGAGAGCGTGGGGTGGCAGAAAAGCAGCTGCACCCCCCCCCAACACCAGGCTGCCCCTGTCCCACGGGCAGGGCGAGGTGACAGCATGGACCGGGGGTCCCCCGCGGGGAAGCAGGGGGGTGCCCCCACTTGGGGGCTGCAGAGCAGCCTCCTGGCCAGCTCCCCTCGCTGGGGGTCCCCCCCCTGGAGCCTCACCACCACAGGCCCTGCGTGCCCCAGGTCCCGTGGCAGCGGCCCCAGCAGTGCCCCCGCTTCGGTGCCCGCAGCTCGCAGGCAGCGGGGCCAGGGCCAGCCGGCGGCCGCCTCGCCAGGCTGCCAGCACAGCGCTGCCACAGCTATTCTGAGACACAGCAGAGCTTCCACAGCTCCCATTTTTAAACGCAGCAGGGCTCAGCTCTGGTTAGATAACGCAGGCTTTGCTCTAATCTCCCAGAGCAGGGGAGCCCACCGGGGTGGCACCAGCGCCCCCAGGCAGGGATTCGTGCTCCGGGCTGTCCCCCTGCTGTGCCACGGCCACCTCCTGACCCTGGCCACCAGCTGGGTGCAGGGGACAGGCACTGAGCAGCTCCACAAGGACATCTCAGCCCTGGGGGGACACAGGGACAGTCCGGGGACGTGCAGGAACCCGGGGGATCAGGGGCTCTGGAGAGACCTCAGGCAGCCAGGGGCAATGCAGGGATGCCGTGAAGGAGGGGGGGCACCTGGAGACACCCAGGGCTTCCCCCAGGACCCGTAAGGGGATGACCCCCTGGGAGGGGACCAAAAGAAAACCGGAGAGACACAGGTGGAGCCCAGGGCACCAGGAGGAGACAGGCACCCAAGGACCGCAGGGGACCTGGAGGAAGGGGGGGGGGGGGGTGCTCAGAGGGGGACCTGGAGGAGATGGGGCACTCGGAGAGGGACCTGGAGGGGAGAGGGGGCCGGAGGAGAGGGGGCATGCAGAGGGAGCACAGCACCCGGGGAGAGCACCGCACCCGGGGGGTACCGGGCAGCCACCCCCCTCCCCGGGCCGGGGGCTCCCTCCCGGGCTGGGGGCCACCTCAGGCGGTGGGGGCGCATCCCGGGGCTCTCACCGATTTGGGTTTCTTCTTGGGGGCGAGGTTGTCGTAGAAAGCCTTGGCGTCCTCCCAGGGCCGCCCCGCCGCGCCCGGTGCCCCGGCGGTGCCCGGCGGCTCCATGGCGCGGCGGCTCCGTGCGCACCGGGCGCTGCCGGCGGGGCGCTTTATAACAGGGCGGCCCGCGGAGCTCCGGGCTCCAACCCACCGGGTTAACCTCTTCGGCACCGGGCCCGCTGCCGCCGCCGCCCCGCACCCCCCCGGTCCCCGGTAACGGCCGGGCGGGGGCGCCCCGCAGCCGCCCCGGGGCACCGGCAGCCCCCGGGCGGGCAGGGACGGGGCTGGGGGGGGGGGGCGCGGAGGGGCGAGAGGCGGCACCGGGCGCGCACCGGGAGGCGCTGCCGGTGCCCGGTGCGGGTGCCCGGGTGCTCGCCGAGGCTCCACGCCGAGCACGGGGCTCTCCGCCGGCCGCAGGAGCCGAGGACCCCCCCGGGGGAGATCCCCGAGGCCGGCCCCAGCCCCCCCGCAGCCGTTCCCCTGCCTGGGGGCACCACCGAGCCAGCCCAGCAGCCGGTGCCGGTGATCCGCTGGGCTCAGCGCTCGGCCGGGGGCTCCGCGCCCAGCCCTCGGGGCCGCCCGTCGGGGAGCGCAGCCTCGCCCCGTGCCCGTGGCACGCTCCGTGTCCCCAGGGCCCTCGCGGGGCTCCCCAGCAAATACCGGAGCTTCCTCGGGGGTGACACCGTGGTGCAGCCGTGTGGCTGCAGGCACAGCAGGAGCCAAACCCAGCCCCTTAACCACGGAGACATTTACCGTTGGTGTGAGCTCCCCAGCAACCGGCCCCATCTCTGCAGGTTGCTGATGGAGAAGAAAGGCCAGAGGAGAGAATTGTGCTGGGAGGATGGGGGTGGGAGAGATGAGCAGCAACAGCAGGTCCCGGGGCTGATGGCACTGGGATGGGCCCAGGGCACTGCCACCAGCTCCCCCAGCAGTGCCCCCAAATAAAGGGGCAGCCAGGGTGCAGCTCCTGGGGGACAGGGGAGACCCAGCTCAGGGCCAGGGCTGCCTGTTCCTACCCATGTCCTGCAGGATAACGCCATTCCTGTCCCCAAAGCAGCCAGCACAGCTGAGGGGTGACCTTTCCATCCATCTTCATGGCTCTCCAGGCAGACCCCCCCCCATCCCCAGTCCAAGGGCCTCTCCATCTCCTGGGTGGCATGAGCTCCCAGTAACCATTCAGGGGAACACCACACAGGGGACATTTTATTTCTCCATTAAAAAAATAGATACCAAGTCCACAGCCTCCTCACGGACATCACAGACATCAACACCACGACGTGCAGACCAAACACCCTGACAACATCCCTGCCCTGGGCAGGAGGGACGGAGGCAGCAGGCACCGCTTCACTTCTCAGAAAGGCCAGAGACTCCACAGGCACCCCAAACACCACCAGGGCAGTTTTGGAGGTCCCCCACTGGCCCCACCAGCTCCCACAGGCGATGGGATGGAAGGTGGCTTCTGGGATCAGACACTGGCAGTGTCCAAGGGCGATCTGGACACTTCTGCTCTTTCTGAAGTCCCCTCACCAGCCCTGGCCATTCCCAGCAGCAGAAGCAGCAAAGCTAAATCTGGACAAAGAAATGGGGGCTGCAGCTCCCTGGGGCCAGCCCCGAGCCCCCAGACAGCCCCACGGGGAGCTGCCAGCAAAGGAGAGAGCAGGGACAGGACCCGGAGCCTTCAGCCTCCCTGGAGGCACCACGAGCGATGGGGTCAGTGCACAGAGCTGCTCTCAGGTGGGATCAGGAATGGGGCCGGGCAGAGCAGTGGGGACAGCAGGCAGCGAGCAGCAGGGGCATGGGGGCGACCGGCCCGGGGAGCTGGGACCTCGCCGTCAGCCTCAGGGAGTCCAGCTCCAGGCTGGGAGAGGTCTGCTTGGAGAGGTCTGCTCTGGGGGCACCCCAAGCCAGCAGTGCCCAGGGCAGGCTCTGCCCGTTGAGGGAAAGACGCAGCCACCGACATGGCCAGGAGCAGAGGCAGAGGGGTGGCAGCAGGGACAGCGTGGGTCACAGCTGGGGCCAAGCGGGCACAGCAGAAAATGGGGTGGAAACTGTCACAAGGGAGCTGGGGTGGCTGCAGCCCGTCCAGCCGGGAGCCCTCGGGGCCCTATTTCTGCATGTCGCACTGCAGCAGGAGGACGATGGAGGGGTCGCTCTTCGCCGCCTCCTTGAACTCCTCCAGGGAGATCTGGTCGTCCTTGTCCTTGTCCATCTTGGTGAAGATCTTGTCAACGCGCTGCTGGGGCGTCAGCCCGTCTTGGTTCATGCGCATCATGATCACAGTCCCCACCATCTTGTAAATGGCCTGCAGAGAGGAGCAGAGCACCAGGGGGGGAGCGTTGGGGGGGCACAAGGTGCCAGGACAAGGCAGGGGCAGGACGGCTGCTGCTCTGTGCCCTGCACAGATACACCCATGGGCGTTTCAGACAAGGTTTTGGGCAGGAAAACCCATTATTTGGTGGGCCCAATACCCGTGAAAAGCCTGGAACAACAGAAGTTATCCCCACTTATTTGAGCCCCAGTACCTCAATGATCTCCAGCATCTCCAGGCGTGTGATCATCCCGTCCCCGTCCAGGTCGTACATCTCAAAGGCCCAGTTGAGTTTCTGCTCAAAGGTCCCCCTGGAGGTGACAGACAGGGCACAGATGAACTCCCGGAAATCGATGGTCCCGTCGCCGTTCTTGTCAAAGGTGCGGAAAGCGTGCTGGGCAAACTTGGAGGCATCTCCGTAGGGAAAGAACTGCGGGGAGGAGAGGAGAGAGAGATCGAAACGGGGAGGGGAGCTCGGCGCAGAGGCTGCTCCGCAGGGAGCTGCGCCCTTGCCCCAGCAGGGTCAGGGTGCTCCAGCCCCGCCGGCAGCAGCGCAGTCCCCAGCCCAAGCCCACCTTGATGTAGAGCTGCTGGAACTCCTCCAGGTTGAGGATGCCGGTGGGGCAGTCCTTCAGGAAGCCCTTGTACCACTGCTTCAGCTCCTGCTCGCTGAACTCCGTGCTCCTCACCAGGTCATCCAGCATCTCCGGGGCCAGCTTGCTGCTGTGCTTGCCCATGGCTGCGCCTGGCGGGGGAAACGCGGGGCTCCTGCGTGCCGGCCGTGATCCTGGGCCCCGCACTGCCCCGTCTGTCTGCTCCCTGCCCAATTTCACACCAGTGACCGCAGCACCAGGGCTGGGCTCAGCACCAACACTCAGCCGTGGTCCTTGCTGCAGGAGCTGCCCAACAGCAGCCCCCAGCACGGCCACGGCATCACCTCCAGTCCCCCCTTCAGGCTGCAGGGAGATGCTCAGAGAGAAACTCAACACCCAGAATAGCTCCTCGCGTGGTCTACCAAGGCACCCCCTCAAAGATGGGACAACGACAACACAAGTCTCTGCACACCAGGGGAGGGGCACAAGGTGGGGACATGTCCCTGCTGTGGCACCAAAGCAAGGACAAACCTCACCAGCACCATGCAGCCTGCAGCACCCCACTGGTGCCCGACCCTCGGTGAGGGGCAGCTCCGCAGCCTCGCCCCCCATCCCTGGGGCTGCCCGCGGTGCAGCAGGGCGCTGCCGAGCCCATGGGTGCGTGGGCAGCAGGCGGAGCGGCTCCGAAACGCGCCGTGCCCGCTCCCACGCAGCCTTGGCTGCCGGCGCCGCTCAGCCCGAGCAGCAGATGGTTTGGGGAGCGCTCCCGGAGCTCCTCTCTCCATAAAGTTGAGGAGAAGTTCACCTGGAGCCCGACCAAGCCCCGTTGTTGCCCTTTGCACATGGGATTTCCTGGCCACGTGGGCTTGCGGGACCTGGGGGTGCCCTGGGATGGGCAGAAGCCCCCCCCCCCAGCACGATGCAGGCTCCTCGCCTTCGCCGCCAGCCCCGCTCGCAGCAGCTGGGGCTGTTTCCTGCCCAGCATCCCACCAGCATCTGTCACCGCCCGCGGCAGCGCTGAACCCACCAGCCCTCGGCAGCCAGAGCCCAGGAAGCGTCCGGACGCCCACGGAGCTCAGCGCTTCCCCAGAGCCCCCCAGCACGGCTCCTGGCACCGCAGCCCAGCCCCAGGGACCGATTAATCCCTAGGATGTGCCATGCTCACGGCCCCCCCGGTGCGCTCTCAGCCACACAAGAGCTGCAGGAGGCTCCTTTTCCCAGGAGGGAGCAGCGAGGAGAACCTTTGCCAGGAGCTTTTCCAGGAGCTCCTTATCCTGCAAGTGAAGCCCCCAAAAGGGCCAGGGCACAAAGGCTCCTGTGGGCCACAGCCCCCGAGCACCCACCCCGCACAGGACCCCGCACACACCGTGCCAGGCCGGGGGGCAGCAGCTGGGGCCAGAAGGGCCCTGGCACCCCTGACCCGACCCAACCCCCTCCTCTCACCGTACCGGTACCACCGTGGCCACTGGTCCCATACGAGGAGCCCTAAGGGGGGCCGCTAAGGACGCCCCCCAGGCCGGCACCCTGGCAGCGCAGGGCACCCAGGGGGCTGCACCCCCCCCAGCCGCACCCCAAGGAGGGAGCAGGGCTCGGGGCTCTGGGGATGGACGGGGCGGCCGGGCTGGGGCACTCGGGGGGGTGCTTGGCCCCCCCCCGGGGGAGGCTCCGGCCCCGACACCCTCCGGAGCCGGGTCCGGGGGCAGCGCTGCTCCGCGCCGCCTGCCCGACACCGGGTCCCGACGGCAGGGGGGGGGGAGCGGCTCCCGGCCCCGACGGCAGCCTCGTCCCGCCCCGGGGGGGCGGCTCCCGGCCCCCACGGCCCTTACCTGGCGGGCGGCGGCGCCGGGCAGGAGCGGAGCCGGTGCCGGTACCGGAGGGGCCGCGCTGCAGCCCCCGGCCCTGCCCCGCGCCGCTCCCGCCCCTCTTGTAGCCGCGGGTCGCCCGCCCCCCCCCACGGCATCGCCCACCCATTGGCTGGGAGAGCTGTCAATCAGCGGGGGGGGCGGTGGGGTGGGTTACTGGGGGGGGCGTACTGGGATGCTGGGAGGAGAAACTGGAACTGGGGTGCTGGGGGGGGCGGGTCTGGGCCGCCGGGGGGTGCTGGCCGCAGGCAGGGCTGGGACCCCCCCGCGGCCAGATGCAGCTCCCCTGGTGTGCCCGGGGCCGGATCCCCACCGGGGGGGGGGGGGGGGGGGGGGGGCAGGATTTGGCCCCTCGGCATGGGCCGGGAGGGGCGGGGAGTGGGGGGCACCCAGGGGACGCCCCGGGGACGGGGGCTGCGGCACCCGGGGGGGCCAACACCGGGCAGCCCGGGGGGGCCGCTCCCGCTCCCCGCTGCCGCAGCGACCCCCCCGGACCCCGGGTGTCCCCCCCCTCCACTGCCCGGTGCCTCCCGGGCCCCTCAAGCCCCCCCCGCCCGGCCCCGGCGGTGGATGCGAAGGGCTGCAGCTTCCCCCAGCGGCTGCGGGCGGCACCGGCACGGCCCGGGGGGGGGGACGAGCCCTCGGGGGGGGGCCGTGCCTTCGGGGGATGTGTGTGAGCCATGGGCTGCGCGGCCCCACAGAATCCCCCCCCCCTTTTCCCGGTGCCCGGGGCTGTTCCAGCGCACCTCGGCCGCAGCCGGATCGGGCCCCGCGGGCAGGGCGGGGTGCCCCCCCCCCCAAAAAAAAAACTGCACCCCTGGGGGCGCTGGGGCTGGGGGCAGGAGCACCGGGGGGCCTCTCGCTGAGCCCCCCCCGATGCCCAGCACTGCCCTGGGAAGGGGAGGTTTGAGGTGTCAGGGTGGGCACACCCCGCGCTGGGGGTCCCCGGCCCGGCAGCATCGCCCCCCCCCGGCCCCACCGCCCCCCAACCCCCGCCTGGCCCCGCTGCGGGGTCGCGGCGCTGGGGCGGTGCCGCTGCCCCCCGGGAAGGGACCGGGGAGGGGGGGGGGAGCGGGAGCGATGCACGGGCAGCAGCAACGAACGTGGGGGCTCCCCGTTCCCCCCTCCCCAAATTCACAGCCCCCCCCCCCCCCCCCCGCGGCCCGGGCAGGCCCCAGCGGTGCTGCTGCCGGCACGCAGCGGGTTAAACGTCCCCGGCTCCTCGCACTCGAGACGTCACCGTCCCCGGTGGCGTGGGGGGGCCGGGGGCCATGGGGGGCTTTGTGGTGCAGCGGCAGCTGGCGCAGGGCTCGCACGCAGGCGGCGGGCGGCCCCCCCCCGGCACGGCGCTGCGGGAGCACCGCAGGCACCGCACGGCCGCCGCCCGCCCGCGCCGCCACGGTGAGCACGGGGGGGGGCCGGGGGGAGCGGGGCCGGGGGAGGGGGGGGGCGGCCGGGAGCAGCCCCCCCCCCTGCATCACCCCCCCCACACCACCACCACCGGGCTGCCGCGGGAGCCCTGCGGGAAAACGGCCGCAGCGAGGCCCCGCACCGCTGGGGGGGGAGGGGGGGCTCGGTCCTGAGGGGTCCTCAAGGCGGGGGGGGGGCTCGGCCCCACCCTGGGGGCTCGCCGGGAACCCCCCCCCCTGTGGGGCGCCCCAGGGTGAAGCCGCCGGGCACGGCTGCGGCTGCGGCGGGGCTGGGTGGGGGGCGAAGAGGGGGTGGGAGGGGGGGTCTCGGCGGTGGCACACGGCTGGGGAAGGGGGGGGCTCGGGGAAGCGACCCCCGGCACGGCCCCGAACCGAGCCCGCGGGTGGGGACGGTCCCCGGTGGCCGGATCCGGAGCATCGCTGCCCCCCGGTGATGGGCAGGGCGCAGGGGGGGTTTTGGGGGGGGGGCAGGATCAGGCCCTGCCTGGGGCCACCCGGGCAAAGCGGGACGCCCCCCCCCGGGGCAGGGGGCTCCTGGGGTGTGGGGAAGGGCCGGGAGGGAACCTGGGGCCACCCCGGGTGTGGCCGGGGGCTCCCCGCTGCCCCCAGCCCTGCCCCGCTCTCCATCAGCGCCCCTCGGGGCAGCCCCCGGGGGGGGGGGGTCCGTCCTGGTGGGTTTGGGGTGCGCGGTCCCCTCGGGGCAGCCCCCCAGGAGGGGTCCATCCCGGTGGGTTTGGGGCACGCAGTGCCCTCGGGGCAGCCTCGTGGCGAGGGGCAGCCGGCCCGGGGGGGGCACTGCGGGGTGTGGGCAGGGGGTGAGGGCACGGCACAAACCCGGCGCTGAGCCCCCAACCTCGCGGGGACATGGGGACAGCCCGCGGGGACACAGCCCTGGCACTGCCACACGTCCCCAACCCCCGGCACGGGGCTGGGGGGCTGCGGCCATCCCCATCCCCCCCAGCACCCAGCCCCACGCCAGGCCTCGTGCCCGGTGTCCCCATGGCAGGGGCCGCGGGGACCCGTCCGTGCCCCTCCCTGGGCACCGCCAGGATGCGGCGGTGACAAACCCCAGCCGCGGCCGCTCTCCGCCTGTCAAGGACGAGCTCGGTGCGGGCAGAGGATGCTGATAACAGAATTTATGCAAATGCCTGAGCAGCGCGGGTGCGAGCCTCCTGCCTGCCCTGGGGGCTGCAGACCCCCCCAGCCCCACCCTACAGGGCCCAGCACCCCCCCAAAAAAAAACAGCACCCAGCGGGACAAACCCCGGGGTCAGCGCCCTGGGGGGCTTTGTGGGCACGGGCACCGGCTGCCGGGGGGGAAACTGAGGCAGGGGGGGCAGCGCTGCCCCCAGCGCCCCGCGCAGAGCCCTGCCGGCAGCGGGCAGGAGGCGAAGCCGCGGGAAGCTCCCGGCAAGGCCTCGGTTGTGCTCGAGCATGAGGTCCCAGCAGGCAGAAATTGGTTTCCTCCAGAGGAAAATGGGCTCTGGCCCTCAGAGCCGGCCATGGGTGCTCTACCCCCTGTGCTGAGCATGCGGCCAGCGCCTACCAGGGGGAGGAGGAGGAGGAGGAGGAGGAGGAAGGCAGAGCCATCAGTGTCACTGCTGTGGGGCTGTGGTGGGGCTGAGCAGGGGGTGCTGGGTGGGGGGCTGCAGCCACATCCACCCCTCTGCCGTGGTCTCCTCCAGCTCCCCCCTCCCCGGCCGCATTAATTAGACCCAAGCGATTAATTACAACCTGCTGAATCCCAGTGCTGCTTCCCAGAGCCCGCTGACAGCACGGCATCAGAACCCAACCCAAATCCTCCCGCAGCCCCCGTGCTGGGAGCTGGACCCCCAGCACCAGCCCCCCCTTAGGGCTTGGTGCGGCTGCTTTTGCACAGCTGGAGGCTGGGTGGGGGGAGCCCCGCGCCCTGCATGGGGGCTGAGCCACCCCAGGCACCCACACGGTGCTGGAACCGGGGGGCTCAGGGGATGGGGGCGGCATCCCAGCACCTGCAGGATTTGGGGTGCAGCTCAGCAGCAGCATAAAGCAACCCTTGTGCAACGCATGGAAAAGAGCAAACCCAACCAGCAGCACGGGGAAAGTCATCGCTGACATCTCTCGGCTCCCCCAAAGCGGGTGATGGCCCGGCCCCAGGGTGCCTGCCCCGCACCCCAGGGTGTCCCCGAGCTGTCCCCGAGCCGTGGGGTCACCACGAGGGGTGCGGGGGGCTGGGGATGCTCGGCCTGTGCCTGGTGAGCCTGGAGAAGCGGTGGAGCTCACCGCACCTCTAGGAAGCGCTGGACGACTTCCAAAACCACCGGCTGCTGGCAAGGAACAAATACCGGAGGCAAATGAGGTGACGGCTGGCGGAGCGCCGTGCGGGGCCGCCGGGAAGGGCCACGCGCCTCCAACGCCAACCGCCCCCGTGGCTGCCAGCCGGCGTCCCACGGCACCTCCCCGCCTGGTGGGCCATGGGTGGGGGCTGCCCGGGGGGGTCCTGACCTCGTGCCTCCCCCCGCAGGTCCCTGCTGGCCCATGAAGTGATCCAGGCGCGTGGCACAGCCCCTGCTCCTGCCGTAGCCACTGCACCGGGCACCAAGGTAAGGACCCGAGGCCACGGCCACAGGGGTGGGCGGGAGGTGCCAATGTGGGTGCCAGGCCCCCAGCCTGGCTCTGTGGGGCAGAAATCCCACCCCATCACACAGGGACATGGGGTCACCCGCGGAGTCCCCTGGTCCCGGCGGGCTGGGGGCCGGGCGCCTCGGCGGGGGCGGCGCGGCCAGCGGCACCCACAGGAAGCGCGACGCTCGCGAGCCCGCGCCCCGCTTCCCTCCCCGCCTCGAGAAATAGAAAGCAGAGCGGTGCCGGGACGGCGGCCCCGTTTCCGCAGCCTCGCAGCCGGGAGGGTGCAGCGGGGGCCGGGGGGGACGCGGGGCCCGGCAGGGTGGGTGCAGGTAGGTGCCGTTGTTGGCGGGGGGCTCGGGGGTCCGGGGTGTCGAGCGGCCGGTGCCGGTGCTGTTCCACTCTGTTTGTTTCTCTCGCTCAGGTCTGCTGGCCATGGGCAACCTGATAAAGGTATTGGGCAAAGATTTAGAAAACTGTCCTCATTTTTTCCTGGATTTTGAAAGTAAGTCCCGTGAGCAGGGCGGGCGTGGGGAGGGGACCAGGGCCACCGTGGTGGCTGCTCCCCAGAAGATGGGGACGGGCGCAGTGTCCCCGAGCAGCCCTGTGTCCCCACTCGCTCCCCGTGGGTCCTGCATGGGGACACGTCCCCAGCAAGTGGCAGGGGTGCAGGGGACATCCCAGCAGCAGGACCTGGCCCAAGCGGCCCTATTGCCTGTTGCCATTTCAGCTGGTGGCACCGGGTGGCCATATGGCACGTCCCCACCACCTCCACGGCGGGGACAGTCCGGGGCTGGGGACAGGAGGGGGGCAGGACGGATCCGTGCTGCCCACCAGGCTGGGGGGTGTTGGTGGCAGCCTGCACCCATGGGATGGGGCTCAGGGACCCCAACCCAAGGTGGCCCAGGGCTAACTGGGCCAGGGGAGCGTGGCCTGGGGTCGCTGCAGGCTGTGTGGGGGGGCGTTATGGGGGTGCCTGGCTCGGTGCAGCTCCGTGGCCCCCCTTCCTGCCTCTCCCCCTCCTTCCTCCAGGGCTACAGCTCAGAGCAAGAGCGAGGGGTGTAAAAATAGTGCAGCAGCAACCACCAGCCCCGGCCCGGCGGGGAGAGGGTGTGTGCAGCTCGCTGCACGTCCCCAGCACCGGCACATCCCAAAATAGCCACGGGGACCGGGGGGCTGGGGCCCTGCAGCCACCCCAGGCCCGAGGCACGGGACCTGCCCAGCTCCCGGCGGGTCCTTTGGGTGCTTGCAGCCCGCGACCACCCCCAGCCCTCTCCAGCCCCCCCCAACCCCAGGGGGACGGGGCTGTGGGTGCTCCCCAGGACCCCTGTTTTTGGGGCCAGCTCCGCAGCCAGAGGGGAGCCACCTGCAGCCACGACCGTGGGACTCGGCACCGCATCGCCCTCCTCGCCGGAGCCCGGCAGCTCTGTCCTCCCTTCGCTCCTTCCTCTCCATCACCCATCCGCAGCGCCCATCTCCATCGGGGGGAAGAGGCTGCCGCCGGGGCCGGGAGCTCCGCGGGGTCCCCGGGAGCGCCTCGAGCCCCCGGTGCTGGCGGGGAGGACGGGGCTCTCGCCGCCGCCGCCCGCAGCCCAGCACCTCTTCCCCGAGCCCCACCTCACCACCATGCTTTTTTCCTCTTGTTTCTTCTCTTGCAGGTTTCACATGGGGAACCTTCTTAAAGTGTTGACTTATAACGAGCTTGACCAAGGCCCTAATTTTTTCCTTGACTTTGAAAGTGAGATGGGATTTTTATTTTCCTTTTCGTTTTACTTGCTCTGAGTTCCACATCCACGCCATTTTGAGTTCCCGTCCCCGTCGCCCATCGCATCGCGCCCATCCCAGACGTCCTCCCCCTCCCCACTGTCCCAGGGGCTCCCCGGGGAGGGGGCTGCAGCCGCCGGGGCGGACCCAGGGCCGGGAGCTATCGCTCTGCCCCTCTCCCCCGCAGCCCAGGGGGCTCAGGCCCGGGGCTGGGGGCCGCCGGGGGGGCCCTGGGCACCCAGTGCGCAGGCTGGCAGGGCTCCGGCTGCCCGGGCCCCGCTCAGAGCCCTCCGGGTTTCTCTCCCCGGGGCGCTGCCCTGCAGATGCGCAGCCGACGGAGGCCGAGACGGCGGTGTGGAACCAGGTGAACGCCGTGCTGGAGGAGGCGCAGGGCGTCCTGGCCGAGCTGCAGTCCTACACAGGGCGCCGGGCAGGAGATCCGAGAGGTGGGTGCTGCCCCCCTGCCCACCGCCCACCCCACGGCTCGGGGTGACCCCGCCGCCCTCCCGCAGGCCATCCAGAACCCCGGGGACCTGCGGCTGCAGGAGAGGGCCTGGAGCGCCGTGTGCCCCCTGGTCGCCAAGCTGAAGCGCTTCTACGAGTTCTCCCTGCGGCTCGGTGAGGGCTCTGAGCCCCCATTCCCACCCCCTGCACCCCCTCCTGCATCCTGTGCCCCCCCCACAACGAGCAACTCCGGGGGTCCCCAGTCCAGGAGGTGCCCTGCCCCGTGCCTCAGTTTCCCCAGCCGGAGCTGGGGCGGTGACCGGAGGCGCTTTGTCCGCAGAGAACGCCCTGCGGAGCCTGCTGGAGGCCCTCACCAGCCCCCCGTACGCCCCCACGCAGCACCTGGAGCGGGAGCAGGCCCTGGCCAAGCAGTTTGCTGAGATCCTGCACTTCACCCTCAGCTTCGACGAGCTCAAGGTACCCCCGTGCCCCCCGTGCGGGCTGCGGGTCCCCCGGTGTCCCCACGCCCACCCCCGCGGCACAGCAGCTGATTTTTTGCACGGTGCCAAGATCCAAGGGCTAGGGGGGGGGCACTGCTGCCCCCAGACCACGGGGCTCAGCCCAGGGATGCCAAGACAGCCCCAGCCCCTAACGTGGCCCCCCCTCCGCAGATGACCAACCCCGCCATCCAGAACGACTTCAGCTACTACAGAAGGACCATCAGCCGAAATCGCATCAACAACCTGCAGGTGAGAGGCCGGTGCCCCCCCCCTGCCGAGGAGTTGCCTTCCCCAAGCAGGGCTGGGGGTGGCTGGGCTGGGGGCAGCGGGTGCAGCCCCATCTCCCCCCGTCCCCTGCAGCTGGATGCGGAGAGCGAGGTGAACAACGAGATGGCCAACAGGATGTCCCTGTTCTACGCCGAGGCCACCCCCATGCTCAAAACCCTCAGCAACGCCACCACCAAGTTCGTCTCGGAGGTGAGCGGGGCTGGGGGGGCCACAGGGGGGGCAGAAGGCTCAAAGCAGCGGGGCCGAGCCCCTCCTCTCCTGCTCCAGCTCCATGCGGGGACCAGGCTGGGCTGGGGGGCTGGGCTGTGCCCCCCCTGGGAGCTGTGAGGGTGACAGCCCCGGGGTCCTGCCGGGTTTCAGAACAAAACCCTCCCAATCGAGGACACGACCGACTGCCTGAGCACCATGGCCTGCGTCTGCAGGGTGATGCTGGAGACCCCGTGAGTACCCCGGGGGCAGTTTTGGTTTCGGTGCTGGGGTCCCCATGTGCCCCCCCCCCCCTGAGCTCACCCAGCCCCTCCCGTGGTGCAGGGAGTACCGCAGCCGCTTCACCAACACCGAGACCCTCCTCTTCTGCATGCGGGTGATGGTCGGCGTCATCATCCTCTACGACCACGTCCACCCCGTGGGGGCCTTCGCCAAGACCTCCAAAATTGACGTGAGTGGCCGTGGGGAGCCCGGGGGGTGCCGCGGCCACCCCGCTCCTCCCAACGCAGCCGTGATGCCTGCGGGGTCCCTCCTGATGGAGGCCCCCCAGGGACATCCCTGGGCTGCTCGAGGGGAATTTGTCCCCCCTGGGGGGGCCGGGGGCACCTCCCCTCACTGCCCTCTCCTGCTCCGTGCCAGATGAAGGGGTGCATCAAGGTCCTGAAGGAGCAGCCCTCCACCAGCACCGAGGGGCTCCTGAACGCGCTGAGGTGAGCGGGGGGCCGGGGGACACGGGGACACGGCTCCGGGGGCTGCGGGGGGAGCGGTTTGGGCCCCCCAAGGTGACCGTCACCAACCCGCAGGTACACCACCCGGCACCTCAACGACGACACCACGTCCAAGCAGGTCCGGGCCCTGCTGCAGTGAGCGCGGTGCCCGCGGCCCCCAGCGCACGTCACCGAGTTATCTACGCCCATGACCATAGTGCTCGTCTGTACAGGGGGAAAGGGACAGAATAAACACACTGGAAACGTAAAATTAAACCCAAACGGCCCGAGGACACCCCCACGGCCTCCCGCCCCCCCCTCCTGGCCCCCCCATATCAGCAGCCGCTTCTGGGCACAGGCTGCGGGTGGCACCGCGGGGGCACAGCGCCCGGGGAACCCGGGCTGGGGGTGCTGGGGCCGGGCAGGATGCGGCCCGGGGGGGGCACAGCGATGGGGCTGGGGCTCGTTTTGGGGAGGGGGCTCGGGGCCGGAGTCGCCCCCATCCGTGTCCCCCCCCCCGCGTGGGGCGCGGGCATTGCTGCGGCTCGGCCCCCCCCGGGCGATGTCCCGAGGAATTCAGTCGCCACTCACCTCTTCTTTTGTACATTTCTTTTATTTTTCTCTTTTTTTTTGGGTGTGAAATAAAATGGCATTTAACCCGTTCGTGGCCGGAGCGGGGCCGTCTCTGGTGCGTCCCGTCCCGGGCAGGTCCCGTCCCCATCCCCGTCCCCCCCCCGTCTCTGCCGGTGCCCCGGGGCCGCCGGGGGGGGCTGCTCCCCAGGGTCCCCCCCCAGCTGCCGGGGCTGTCCCTGCCGGCAGGTGGCCCTGTGACACCGCACACAGCCACACGGTGCCCCCCCCCCCCCCAACACGGGACGGCCCCACCGCGGGGGGGCCCCGGCGGCTTCAGGGCGGGGGATCGGGGGGGATCCCCCCGCGGCCCCCCCGTGGCACCGCCCCCCCCGCGGGCCGGCCACCGCCTCGGGGGCTGCTGCAGGAACCCCCCCCGGGTGTCTCCCCCCTGGGACCCCCCCCCCCCCCCCGAGCCCTGGGGATGACAGCGCAGGACCCCCCCCCCCCGCCTCCCCACTGTTGCACAACCTCGGCCAACGGCGCTTTTATTTTTAGGCTCTTGCGACACGGCCCCCCCTAGCCTGCCCCCCCCCCCCCCCAGCCTGCCCCCCCAGCCCCGACACCGCGCCCCCCCCCGGTCCCTGCAGGTCAATGGGGACAGGATCGGGCCCCGCCACCAGCGGGGGCAGCAGGACGGGGAGCAGCGAGAGGGGGCGGTGAGGGGGCAAAGGAGCCATGGGGGTGTCAGCCTGGGGGGGGCTGAGCTGGGCACGGTGCAGCACGGAGCCCCCAGGGGTGAAGGAAAGCCGGGGGGGGGGGGTACTCTCCCTGCCACAGCACCTCCAGGACCTCCCTGGGACCCGGTCACCCCCTGAGCCTGGCACTGAGCTCTGCTGGTGGCCGGGGACCCCCAAAAAAACCCAAAGCCCGGCACCCGGGTGCCAGCACCCCCAGGGCCCAGCTCTGCCCCCCCCCACGAGCCCTCGTGCTCAGCGCTGGGCCCGGCTGGGCAGAGGCTGCAGGGGGGAGCCCCGCCACGCCACGCCAGGCCCGCAGGCCTTCTAATCCCGCTGTAATTAATGACCTTATCTTTGGCCAAAGCCATTTAGATTAAGTGGCTGGTGTGATGGGCTGGGCGGCTCCGGCTGCACAGATGGAGGAGCTGCGTTTGTCTGGGGATTAGCGGCGGGCAGATGGAGCGGGGCCGGTCCCCAGTTCCCCAGCCCCAAAGCGGGGGCCTAGCGGCAGCCCGAAACCCAAAACCACACCGACCTCCTCAGCAGGGCCCAGAGCCCAGCAGAGGCACGGAGCTGCCGGGGGTCGGGCACGGGCCCTGAGCTGAGGCCTCCCCACGGAGGCACCCTGCAGGGCAGGGCAGGGGGAGGCCCAGGAGACCCCCCCGGCCATGGAGGCAGCAGAGCATCCCTTCGGAGCAGGCTCATGAACAGAACAGAGACTGGAAGCTGATGTGGTGGGGGAACAACATTTATCTGCAGGGACAACCAAGTTCATATTGAACCACTTACGGACATTAAATTCCCTCCTAACAGCACCATGTGCTGAGCACACTCAGGAGCCAGGCAGGATAATGCCCCCCCCTCACTCAGAGCTGCCTCCACGATCCCACCGGGGCTGGGGAGACGTCTCAGCGGTGAACGGGGCCTGGCACCCAGCCCCCCGGGCATCTTGTCCGTCCCTCTAGGACACAGGAGCCTGGTTCCACGCCACGTCCCTCGCTGTGACCTGCTCTAGAGCCAGACTGAGCCCACTTCCACATGCACTTGAGTCAGGGTGAATGGCAAAAAAATCTGGGCTGGAGAAGGGGCTCAGCTGCTGCACAGACCCAGCGACACCATCGCGGTGCCCGGCTCTGCACAATGCTGGCAGAGAACAGCAAACTCAAAGTCCCCTCCGGTCTGAGCTGCCAACACACACGTATCAAGTGGCCCCAGGCAGCTGCCCCATTACAGAAATAATCCAGCGCTGGGGAACACGAGCCTGAGGCCAAACCTAATCCCCAGAGAGAGCGCGGCAGCAGCTCTGCCCGCAGCCCCTTCCCTCGCGGGCTGAGAGGTCTCTTGCCTCGTGGTGATTCGTGAGCAGCTGAAGGAGAAATCTGTGCTCTCCCATCCCCAGGAGGGACCATCGTGATTGCCCTTGCCAGAAGAATTCCACACATCCTGGAAAGGGCCCTCGTGGCTTTCACCAGAGCGGCCCCTTGGGGAGCGAGGTGGTGCCGAGGGCGCTCGCGTCCTCCAGGAACAACGCCGAGACAGCCCCGCGGCACGAGGAATGCGCTGCTCAGCAGCAGGGATTCAAATGCAGGGCCAGTTCCCACTGCCAAACCACAGTGTAAACCCCCGGGAATTCAGCTCTAACTAGGACAGCCTCATCTGTTGCAAACCCGATGAGATCATTCCCAATTCCTGTTTAACAGGTGCCAGCTCTTTCTGCACCTGCTACGTGCATACGGAGCGCCCGGCCTCCGCCGAGCTGGGAACATCTGCTCGGCTCCTCCAGGAGCTGCAGGAAAGGTGACTGGGAGAAGGGGCCAGGGCTGGGCATCCTGCCCCGTGTGTGCCTGGAGCAGGGAACCTGGGCCGGCTGAAAATAGAGAGCAAGAAAGCTGAACTTTTTAACAGGCAGGGGAACCCGCCATCATCTTGCGGCTTTATTTCCATATAAAAGCAAAAAAATCTCCTCTCCACAGTAAAGGCAGTAAGAACTCACTCAGCCCCTGAGCTGCACTCCTGGCCAAGCCGGGGGAGTGCAGGGTGTTTGTGTCCCTGAGAACAACACGTCCGCATGCCAGCGGGAGAGGCTCGACCCCCCCAAGGACAACGCTGCGATTCGGGCAGGAGTTAACGCTGGGCACGGGAGGACGCTCCCCGCAGCCTTGCCCCCGGCCCAGCCTTTTCCAGGTGCAGAAGCACAGAAACACAGCAGGACAAGGCCACGTGAGAGGCTCGGACACAGCCTCGGGTTGTCCCTTTGTCACTCACACACCCGCCTCGTCCCCCCGCGGTGTCTCAGCTCGCTCGGGCTGAGCCCACCCGGGGCCCGGTGCCTCCTCGCCGTCCCGGCTCCAAGCCCGTGGCACAGGCACGCTGCGCTCCTCGCCCGAGGTCTCCGTGCCCTCTGCGTCCCCCCCTGCAGCACGGCTGGCAGCCTCCAGCTTCCTGCTCTTCTTCAGATGGTGCAGGTGGGATTTGGATCGCGTGTGAGCTGGTGGAAGAGGCAAACAAGCATTTAGCTCTGGGGAGCGTGGAGAAGGGAACGCCCGAACCGAGCCCCAGTGGGTGCAGAGCACCCTCCGTTCCCATTCTCCCACTCAAGGCCATTCCCACAAAAAAATGAACTCCCTGGCCCTGCCCTGGCTGTTTCTCAGGGCACTTCCAGGCCAAATAATCAGGGCACCGAGGGGAACAACCCTTTCAAGCCTTGTCACGAGCAGAGGAAGGACCGGGAGAGGGACAAATCGCCCGGGTCTGTACACAGAAAGCTCCAAACCGCCAGGGTTCAACACCCCAGCACCTCCGAGCTGAGACCCAGCACCAGGAGCAGAGAAGAAAGGCGAGTGTTACCCAACGGGCGGCACCTTGCAGGATGCAGGCGAGGTTGTGCAACTCGCCCCCAGCCCGTGGAACACCGCCAGGATCATTTGTAAGCCCAGCCCAGCCGCCTGCGCCGCAGCATGGGGATAACCCGCACCCAGCACGGCCACGGCGCCCGGAGCACAGCCCAGCTTCTGCATGGCCGCAGGGCACGGCTCACAGCTACCGGGGCTCCGAGGGAACAGAGGCGTGACCCCGGGGAAGCAGCTTGTACTGACACACCGGGGGAGAGAGAGCTGCGTTTCTGCTTAAAATCACCGAGTTACGGGCAGCAAAACCTCCCGTATCGCTGGCGTTATCTAAACAGAAGACGCTTTGTCTAAGCAGACCCATGTAACATCCTAGCAGGGCGGTTTTGCTGTTTCCAAGAGATCAGAGCAGCAATTAAAGAGCAAACTTTCCAAGCAGGGCCTTAATTAAACGAGGGGATGTGTTTGCCGAATCGAGGCCCCGAGGTGCTTTGCAGTCCTTTTCTGCCAAAGGCTGCAATGACATGCAAAGCTGCTGCTTTATCACAGCGCTGTAGGGTCACCCCAGCCTGAAATGAAGTCTCACCTCTTGCAATTTGTTGCAAGCAACTCCAAAGCTTGCAGCGGCTGCAAAAAGCACTGACTTCAGCTGGTGCCTGGGGAGGCGTGCTCTTTGAAGTCCATACAAATTGCAAAGTTAGATAAAATGTAAAAACCTTCCAGAGCCAGCGAGGGACTGGGAAGCAGTTCCCAGAACTATCTGTAACTTGTCCTAGGGAAGCAGACCAGATTGCAGACTGACTCAGCCCCCACTGCTGTTTTCACTTCCCTCTGAGCTCTCACATTTTGCAGTTACACCCAGGTTTGGGGCCCTTTTTCTCCTGCCGTCTGAAGATTTGAGCCAAATTCAGCAAGATGCAGAGAACACCCAGCTGGGGTGGGCTCAGAAAGGTGTCCTCGCACAGGACCTGGAACAACATCCCCAGGGGGCCGGCAGTCACTGCTGGGGAGTTTGGGGTATCCTGAGGAGTTCCAGCTCTGCCAAAAACCCTGTGGAGCTGGAAGGCTGCAGGGATCCTGACCGCTTCCACAGCCCCCGGTTGTGGAGCAGGCAGAGCTTCTTCGGAGCACCTCAGAGCTAGTGCAGCTGAGACTGGCTGCAGCAATTAAACTGCTCTCGCTGTAACGAGCTCCCTGCTCTGAGCCACCTCCCAGCTGCTTTCGGCAGCTCCCCAGATCGATCGGGATAAACGGCTCGCTCAAAGCCTGGGCACAGTTTCTCTGTGCATTGTCTCTGCACTTGGGCAGCACGCGGAGATTTACCAGGTTCATTTCTGCTGCCAGCCTCTCGGCTGCTTTTTGTTTCTGGTTCTCAGCATGAGCCTCGCAGTGCAGATAAATTCACTGAGTTAATCTGATTCCAACTGAGCTCTTTTAAAAGTAAGTCTATTGAAAATAGAAAATCCTTTCCTATTGCCATTACAGCTAGGAATACTTTTTTTTTCTTTTTGAAAAACACACAAATAGGAAGAATACACAAATAGGAAATATTGGAGCGTAACTGAGCTATTAAAAACATCAAGAAACTTCCGCTTTACGCAACAACGTTTTAGGGGGAATAAATTTGTTCCCTGCCTTTTGACAAAGTGTCTGAAGTGCCGAAAGGGGCCAGCAGCCCAGACTAAACACGGGCAGCTCGGAGGTTTGATGCTGCGCCTGAGCCCCCCGCGTCTGGCAGGCTGGCAGCCGGGGAAGGGGGGCAGCCCGGCAGATGGCTGCTGTGGCACAGCTCCTGCTCCCCCCCCTGGGCTCGCAAATGTCTGCTTTCACAGCCGGGCTGTAAACAGTCCTTGAAAGCCCAAGATCACGCGCCGAGGGTCGGCCGGCCGGGCACAGGCAGCCAAGGAAGCTGCCCTGCTCTGCAGAGAGCCTGGGCACAGCCTGAGCCTTCCTCCCCCCGCTGCGCCCTACCTGCCCACTCCCGGTCCCCGATGATGACCCTGTTGCACAGCTCGCACACGCGGTGACGCCGTTTGTCCTCGTTCGCATCGAACTCCATCCTTACGGGCTCCGCCGGGGGCTGACGTCCCTGTGGGTTAAATAATGCCCCAAATAACTTGCTATGGAGAGGACTCGCTGTGGCTGCGCTCGCTTAGGATAGGATTCGGGCTGAATTTTCTGTGCTCAGACACCAAGGCAGCGGGACAGGGGCTGCAGTTTTACCACGCAGGACAAGCGGAGTACTGAGCATTAGGAGAAATTCTCAGCTTCAGCACTGCCACTGCAGGTAACCAAACCCAGGGCTGGACACACACACAGACAGCCCCAGCTGTGGGAGCTGAGTTACGGGGCCTGGAGCAATCAAAGTACGGGCTCCCCAGCCGCAGCTCGCACGTTAGCTCCGGCTATCCTGTACCTGGATGAAGCTCTCAACGATCTCCAGAGCAGGTTTCAGCACATCCTCCTCCCACCGCAAGTGATCAGACACCTCCAGGCCATACACCGGGGGCACGTTGGGGCCAGGACCTGCAGGGAGACAACGGCGGGTGGCTGCCAGCACCGCAGCTGGGGGCACCCAGCACCCCCAGCACCCCCAGCAGCAGGGTACCCCAGGGGTCTGCACTGTGCCACAGGGGATCTGTTCTGGCATCGAGCACTCAGAAGGGCACAGCAGCAGCCTTTCTGGAGCCAGAATTAGCAGAGACCTCAGCTCGTGGGCAAACTGTGAGAACAGCTACGACCTAGGGCGAGCATCTGCACGGCTGCCTGCCTTCAGGACAGCGTTACAACATCAGAGCACGCCGAGCAAACGCTTCAGCGCTACCGCAGCGCACTGCAGGCTGCAGAAGATCAAAAGCTAGATCCAGGCATGAAGCAAAGCCGTGCTGACAAGGAGATGCACCCATGGAGCCTGAGTGGGGATCTGCTGGTGCAGGCTCCTGATCAGCTCACAGCTCAGAGCTGGAGCTGCCTGCAGGGGCCAACGCACTCAGCTCACAGCAGGACACAGCAGTGCTTTACCAGTGCCTTCCACCTGCCCAGACAGTTTCAGAGCCACCCCTCTGGTCCCCCCAAGCCCAGCACGAGGGCACAGGGTGCTGGCTGCAGCCCCGCGAGGTGAGGAGGCTGCAGATGGGGAGCACCCGCTCCCACCAGTGATGTCGCCGCCCCACCACGGCTCCCCTGCCCGCAGCAATCAGCCCCGCAGGGACAAAGCCATCAAAGGGGCCGCGTGCCGGCCCCAGCAGGTGCTGCCTTTATTGCTGGCACCACCACCAGGCTCCCGACAGCGCCGATCTGCAGCACACCTGCCACCAGGAAGGTGAGCCACAGCCACCAAGCACACGGCTGCCGGAAAGCTTTTGCACCCAGATCAAAGCCCGTCTTTTGACTCAAGTTCCCCCCCTGCCTTTTTTTTTCTTTTCTTGTTGTTGTTGTTGTTTTGCCCCCACCGAGCAGCTTTCAACAAGTGCCCGGCTCCCAGCTGCTGCTGCTGGCCCTGCTCCAAGGCTGGGGCTGGGGCAGGGCAGTCCTGCTGGCTCCCTGCCACTGCAGCCAGCAGGGCCCAGGAGCAGCCCAGGGGCTCCTGCTCCTAATCCCAGGGCAGCTGCCAGCTGGGCTTTTCGGCCTGTGCAGGGGGCGAGCGTGTTGGGTGCTGCTGGGCGCCCCCCCAGCCCCTTGGGAGCCATCGGGGGGAGGCTGCAGGGACACTGCGGCCATCGTCACCTGGGCACGGGGCTGAGCGTTTGCTTGCTTTGTTCTTGGGAGGGGAAAATCCTCCCTTGACGAGCACCCAGGGGTAGCAGCAGGGGGAAGGAGCCAGCTTTGTGAGCGTCCTGGGGCGAGGTGAACGCGCACAGCACACAGCCAGGAGGGAGATGTGAGGACAGAGGTGGCGAGGCAGCGCGGGGGCAGAGCACTCACGTCTCAGGAAGCGGTTGCGGACCCATTTGTTCTGCCTCCGGGCGTATCTCTTGGTCACCTGCTTCAGGGCCTGGATCCCTTGGAAAACAGAAGAAGCAAAAAGCCCGGAGTTGGGCACAGCTCCACGAGTGGGGCGAGAAGAGGCTGCTGGATCTGGCACGGGGGAGCACATGAAAGGAAGGTTTGTTCTGGGGGCACCGTGCTGGTGTGAGGGAAGGGTTTGTGAGCAGCAGTCACAGCAAAGCCACCAAACCCTGCCGGACAGAGCAGGGGCAGCCCAAAAGGGATGGACAAGGACAACCTCTGAGGGCTGCACGGTTCTCCTGACACCTCACGGGAACACTTCTCTGCCCAGACCGAGCCCAGGACTCCTCGTTGTGTTTGCAGCAGGCCCCGAGGACGGTTTCCCACTGTGCAGCCTTTCAATATTTAGTGCCGGACTTATCGTATCCCTCTGTAATCTCCCTGTTCGCAGACACAACAAGCCCCCTCTGCACCAGACTTGTTTTCAAGCCCTTTATCACATCCATGGTTTCCTCGGCCTCCAGCTCCACTTGGCACCAAACCCTCCCCAATGGCCTGACGCTGCCCAGGACCGTGCTGAGCAGCGCAGCTCCCTCCTCCCCTAACAGCAGGGTCTGCCTGGACTTTCTGAGCTGTTTCATTTCTTCTCCCTAGCCCTGTTCTCCCCAGCAGTCACTGCCCAGCCAGGATCCCCTCACCCACATTACTGCTGCTCCAGATCGCAGCTCCCCCAGTGGGGCAGGAGGCAGGAATTGCTCTGGGGGTGCTCAGGGATGCTCTGGGGCACTGCAGCCTCTGCCCCTCAGGCTTCAAAGTGCAAACCACGTGCAGGAAGGTGCAGCTCAGCCCCCGTGGGACCTGCCCCGGGTTTGAGCTCAGCTCTGTGTGGGGCAGGGGGACGGGGGGCACGCGGGGCACTGCTCCCACCTCTCTGCAGCAGCAGGGCACTGGTCTCGGGTGAGCAGCTGCCCTTCGCTGACGAGGTACTCGTGGAACTCCTTGAAGCCGATGGACTGGAAGATGCCGTGCTGGTAATCCTGGCTGGAGAGCAAGGCAACAGGCAGGGGTTAGGGCCGTCTCCTTCAGGACGGGGAGATCTCAGCCCTCCAGGAACAGCCGGGATCCCTGCGTGCCGCCCAGCTCTGGTCTGGAGGAGGTCTGGAAAAACTAAATCCAGAGCCGAGCCCCAGCAGGGGGCTGCTGTTTGGCCAGCCCTGGGCTAAGGACGGGCAGGGAAGGCCAGGGAGAGGAGCTGGCTGCTGCAAACCTCCCCAGGCAGGGAGGGGGGACTGGGAGCAGGGGGAGCTGGGGTCTCACCCACCGGTTTTCGGCCACCTTCTGTTGGTTGTAGCGGCGGTGGAAGTCCCGCAGCTCCTCCAGCAGCCCCGCGGCCAGCATGTCGTCCACACGCTGCTCCAGCCGCCGGTCCAGAGCTGGGAGGAGGAGGAGGAGGAGGAGGGCAGGAGGTGCTGAGCTGTGCCCTCGGGGGGCCCAGAGCCGGACCTTTGGCACCCCCAGCCCAGCCGAGGAAGGCAGAGCCCAGCAGATGGGGGGAGCGACTCCCCTGCCGCTGCTGCTGGTGCCAAGGAATTGCTGCCTCGTGCAGGGAAGAGGCTGGGGCAGGAGCAGGGAGCCAGCCCTCGCCCTCCTCGCTGCGCCCACTCAGCCAGGGGCTGTGCACAGCCCACCCTCACCTGCCTGATCTGCATGGAGCCACAAGATACAAGAATTTGGGTATTTCAGGGGCCCCCCCAGGGGTCCTCCGCCTTCCTCCTCCTGCTGCCGGTGCAGGATTTCACTGTGGGGGATCCCTGTCTCTTCAAACACTTGGAGGCTCCTGCAAGCAGAGACAGACAGAGCTCAGAGGCTGGGTGAGGACGAGCGTTCCCATTCCCCTAGCAGCCCCGGGGGCTGCAGCACAAGGAACCGCAGACACCCGCCGCGATCCAGCCCTCTCATGTGGGGGGGAGGGCAGGTTTCTGCCCCCTCCCGTGCCCGGCACCCTGAGCACACCCAGGTCCCGGGGGCACGGCGATGGCACCCCAGGAGCCCAGAGCGCAGCCACCCCCTCCTGCCTGGCAGCGGCACAAGCCCTGCAGGGGACGGGCCCCTGGCTCCAGCCCTTCCCTTCCCAGGCAGGGCTGTGGGGAAGGGCCCAGCGCTGCGGGAGGCTGCGAAGCTTCGCCCCAGCCCAGCCCTGCCAGGGGGATGGAGGAAGGTGCACGGCGTGCCCCAGCCCTCCCCGTCCCCCCGCACCCACCGTGCGAACGGGGTGGGTGGCGTTCTGCTCCCCCCAGGCCAGGGCTCGGCCGGGATGGGCCCGAGGAAGCAGCAAGCCTGGTCTTGCTGCCCTGCTGTTCCCACACAGCTCAGGTATGTGACTGAGCCAGCACGGCAGCTTGCTCCTTAAATAGCTCCAGATAAACCCTGCTGCTGGGGAGCAGCCCCGCCGTGCATGGGGTGCTGCACCCCAAGGGCAGCTCGGGCTGGGGGCAGCGGGGCCAAGGGTCTGAGAGCAGTGCTGCGAGGTCCCCAGCAGGCTCGGGGCACCTGTCTGGGACGGGAGAGCCCCTCCTGCCATGTGCCCAGGCATGCAGCTCCCTCGGGCCGGGTGCTGTGCTGAGCACACCGGGCTCACCTGGCCACTTTGCGCTTGTCGTGGGGGTGCAGCCTGGCTGCCATCTCGGGGTCCACCCGGCTCAGGCGGCGGTGGAGCTCCACAACGTCCAACTGCTCCAGCTCCTCCTTCCTGTCGGGGGCCGGGCTGGGGGCTGAGCTGGCCTTGTCCTGTGGGGCAGCAGGCAGCCCTGAGCACAGCTGCTCACCTGCCCCCAGGACAGCCCCCAGACCCCAGGACAGCCCCCAGACCAGCCCCGAGGGGTGCAAGAGGAGCCTCTGGCTTTCCCTGCCCCCTTTGGCACAGGAGCACCATGCCCAGCAGCAGGCTCCCCCCTTCCCAGGGCTCTGGCAGCCCCAGCTCGGTACCTTGGTGCTGACGAGGACCTTCCAGAGCAAGGCCTCGATGTAGTAGTTGGTTCCTCCCACGACGATCGGGATCTTGTCTCGGGCGAAGATGTCCTCGATGTGCCGCAGTCAGGGAGCACAAGCAGAGGCGCAGGGTGCGGAGGGCTGCAGGCAGCGCCTGCTGGGCCTGACCCCTGTGGCCACCCCACGACATTGGGGCCCAGACCCCCCCCTCCCAGCCCACAGAGCCTCTGAGGCTGCAGAGCAGGGCTGTGGCTCGCCCTCATCCCCCACCCGTGCCACCAAGTCTCAGGGACACGCAGGGACCGCCAGGGAGGGCAGCACCCGGCTCAGCACGGCTGGGCGCAGCGAGGGGCCTGCCCAGGGCTGCAAGAAGCTCAGAGCCCCCCTTGCCAGAAGCGTCCTCTGGAAACAAGTTAGGCTCCCCCGAGGAGCCCAGGGCCGGGGCAAACACTGAGCTCTCTACCAGGGCTGTCTGTGGAGGAGGGAAGCCCGAATCTGCCGGGCCAGGCAGCCCGCAGCTGGAAGGATATCAGAGGCACGGCCCTGTCCCTGAAATCCACCACCGTGTAGTTGGAGACGAGGGGATCCACGAAGCTGATCATGTGGTGCCTGCAGAGCTGCTGCTCCTGCGGAGAAACCTTGTTTGTGATGATATCCAGGCCCTTGTACACCTGGGGAAGAGAAGAGCCCAGTCGCCCACCTCTGTGTGCCAGTCCCACGAAGCCTCCCAGGCCCTGCTCCTTCTCCCAGGCCCAACACCAGCCTGCCCCCGCCGCCCCCGGCCCCTGGGGGAACCCTGCCAGCTCCTGCCGGGGCCGGGATGCCTCTTCTGGTGCTTGGCTGAGTTGACAAAACATCACCAGGCAGGGACGGAGCCGGGACCCGCTCGGTGGCCGTCCCAGGGGGCTGGCAGCAGGCAGGGGGCACGCAGAGCTCTTGCTGTGCAGTTCTTGCTGTGCAGGACACCGGCCTCACACCGAGGCCCGCGGTGCCAGGCACAGGGAGGACGTGGGCAGCTCCTGGCCTGGGACAAACCGGGTGTGGGGAGAAGGGTCTGCAAACAGCCACAGCCATTGCCTCCTCCATCGCCCAGGAGCAAATTTCCCCCTGATCCCCCTGAAGAGCTGCCAAGCCCCCAGCTGCAGTGTGGCCCCCAGCTGCAGCACAGCCCCCACCCGCCGCCACCCCCGGTCCCCGGCAGAAGGCCAAGGTGAGGCAGAGGTGATCCGGGCAGGAGGCGAGGAGCAGTGGCTGGGATGAACTGGGGTTACTGGGGCAGGGAAGCCCGAACCCTGCTCGCAGCCGTCTCACGAGCTGGGGCGGCTCAGCCTGCGGCCGCTCCCTCCCTGCCTCTCCCACCGCAGCCTCGACTGTCCTGGAGAAAGGCTGCCCCGGGGGCAGGAAGCGAGGGGGGAGCGGGAGGGCAGGGAAATGCTCCTCTTTCTGCCCTGCAGACACCCGGCTGGCTCCAGGGGCCGGGAGGCAGCTCCGTGCCAACACACCCCGGGGCTGCCTGCAGCCTGGCCATCACCTGCCCATCCAGCCCAGGTCTCCAGCAGACACCAAAATCCCGATCCAAAGCCTTTGAACCCCACGAACTTTGGCTCGGTGCCTTCCTGCCCCAGCTGGGCCAGCACCCCAGCACCCCAGCTCTCCCAGCACCACCGCTCCTGCTGCCTGCAGTCGCAGCCGATGCGCACCCCTAACAGCGCGGGCAGGGCTGGGGCTTGCACTTCGTGCTCAAATCCCCCAAGGTTCCCCTGGAGATTAAACACCAAGAGCCTCCCTGGACGTCTGGAAACAAGAGGAGGAGGAATGTGGTGTCTGTGTGGGCCGGGAGGGAACAAAGGCCGCCTTCACTCCCGCGCACAGCCTTCCCCCAGCTGGCCGGGCCGTGCTCCGAGCCCTCCTCCCTCCTGCTGCCCGCTTCTATTTCCAGCGAGCAGCCCAGATAAGCTCTCGGTGCTTCCTAAGGCCCCAAACAGATTAGCAGCAGCCCGGAGCAGCAGCCCTCCGAGCCACCATGCGCAGGCTGAGGGCTAAAGATACTTAGCCCTGGCGGTGCCCTCCCACCTCTGCCACCGAGGGCCCCGCGCCATGCGGAGGGTGCGCAGCAGGGACCCCACAACGTGGCCACACCAACCCCACAGCACCACGAGGGCCCAGGGATGGCCCAGCCGGCCAGGGGCTGGAGGAAGGCCCCAAAGCACGCTCAGGGTGAACGGGAGGCAAGGTTCGCCCCCTTCTCTGCGCCCTGCCACGAGGAAGCTGTCAGCAGAGCTTTTGCCAAAGCCCTTAAGACGTCCCGAGGTGACACACTGACTGACAAACACACCCAGCGCACACAGCAGCCTCCAGAAGACCTCATCACTGCTCCGAGGGCAATACCTGGACGGGACAGAGGGACCAGGAAGGGTCCAGACCCTCCAGTGACCGCTACGCCCCAAGTGGGAACGAGGCGAGGCTGGATGCACCCTGCAGGGGAGCAGCTTGCTGCTGCAGGGAGCTCCCGGGATGACAACCGGCACCAGAAAGGGCAAAAAGAGAGATTAAGGGGCCATCAGATTAACCAGGGCCGCGTGCAGGCAGCGGCTAAGTCTGGAACTTCACCACGGTGACCCACGGTGCTGACGGAGGTGCCCCAGAGACAGAGGGTGCCCTGCCGGCTGTGCCAGCCTGAGCAGCTGCCCCCAGACACTGCCAGCGTCTGCCAGACCCCTGCAGCACCCCGCGGGGAGCAGCCACGAGTGCACAGAGGGGCTCGGGGCGACTCGGTTGGGGGCAGCTGTTGGCTGGGAACGAGCAGTGGGGTTCCTACGCCCAGGACGCTGGCACCAGCTCGGGGATGTGCAGCACCGAGGCTCCTTCCCCAGGAATAAAGCCGGCCGGGAGGCAGACCCAGCTGGCTGCTGCGGCCGCATGAGCAGGGCACGGGGGTCAGTGGGGCGCAGTGGGGGTGGCACAGCACGGCGTGGTGTGCTGCTCGTGGCCGTGCCCACAGGCAGCCAGGGGCTGGCCGAGGCCATGCACGGGAGGCAGGAAGATCCCAGGGGCTGCTCGGCTCTCACTGCGCAGTCACACCAGGGGGAGATTAAAAGGGAAGGAGGACGAGAGCCACTCGGCCTGGGGGGCACGGGGCGCCTGCAGCCAGAGGCCTCCCAGTGCCTGCGTTCCCACAGAGGGCTCCGAAACAACCAGAGCACAACACACACGCTTCAAAGAGTCCAGGGGCATGAAATGAGGGCCCACAGCACGCCTCCAGCCCCAGCCACCTCCACAGAGCTCGGGGAGCAGCACGAGCCTCGTGCTCCCAGCAGCTGCCCCCGAACACAGCGGGCATCCCGGCACCACAGCAGGCCCAAGTGCTCCCATCAGAGAAAAATAATAATAAAAGCGTTGATTAGGAAGGAAAACACATTGCTAAAACAGTAACACAATCCCCACGATGGCTGAACTCCACATTTTGTGATGAAGCTCTTAAATCCGAAAGCAATTAGAGGCAAAACTCTGAGGCTCAGCTCCCTGCTCTACATCTAGGTGTCTGTTAAAGACCTCCGGGGATGGTGCCTGGACCACGCACAGGGAAGGGGGGCTGCAGGCCACGTCCCTGGCAAGCAGCAGGTTGTGATAATATTTTTATATTATTTTCCATATTTTGCTGACATCCCTTTGCTGAGTGAATGGGGAAATGAGAGGATTGGCGTTCAGCAGCTGCATCGAACCCTCACCCATCCCCACGTGCTGTCCCGTCGCACAGACCCGCTGCCACCCCCACCGAGCAGCACGGGGCAGTTTTTATTCCCGAGTTAAAATCACAACACGTTTGCTTGCTTTTCCCCAAAAAACCTGCCTCTTCCACCCCCCTGCCGGCAAAACACGCTGCTAACCCCCCCCAACCCCCCCGGAACCCCCCAAACTCCCCTCCCGGGACGCAGCGGCCGCGCTCCCGGAGCATCCCCCGGCACCGTCCCCACCGACACCGGGCTCGGGGCCCCGGTACCTGCATGGAGTCGGCGCTGACGATCTCGCCGCCCAGGCGCAGCCCCAGCTGCACGGCCAGCGCCGACTTGCCGGTGCCGGTAGCGCCCAGGATCACCACGAGCGGCCGCGGAGGGCCCGGAGGAGCCCGGCCCGAGCACAACACGGCCGCCGCCGCCGCCATAGCCCGGGCTGCCATAGGAACGGGCGGGCGGGACCGGGGGCGGGCCGGGGGAGGACGGGGAAGGACGGGGAAGGACGGGGAAGGAGGGCGGCCCCGAGGTCCTGCACCGCCCCGGGGCCCGGCCCTGCCCCGTTCCTGCCCGGGGCTCCGGCCGCTGCCCGCTCCCGGCCCCTTTCGGGCTCTGCCCCGGGCGGGGGCAACTGGGGGGGGAAGGATGCTATTGCCATGGAAACGGGGGTGCGGTTGCCATAGTAACGGGGAGGGGGGAAGGATGCTATTACCGTGGCAACGGGGCAAAGGGAAGGATGCTGCTGCCGTAGCAACAGGGCAGGAGGAGAAGGATGCTATTGCCATGGCAACGGGGAGGGGGGGAAGGATGCTGCTGCCGTGGCAACAGGGCAGGGGAGACTGGGGCTGTTGCCATAGCGACAGAGGAGCTCGCTGGCCTGGCAACCGAGAGGCAGAACTGGTCGCCACGGCAACACGGGGAGATGCGGAGGGGGCGGCTGTCCCCATGGCAACAGGGGCCGGGGAGGCAGGGATGCGTCGCCGAGGCAGCGGGGGGGGGATTTGGGCAGCATCCTCTGCCCTGGGACAGGACAGGGACACAGCTGTCACCCCCCTCGCAGGCACCGCGGGTGTTGGCGCCTTGAGAAGCCGCCCCAAAAATTTGCCAGGATGGGCACGAAGGCGGGCACGGCCCCGCGGGGGTGCTGCGGGGTCTGAGTGTGAGCAGTGTGAGCAGGGCACTGTGTGGTTATGGCAAAAAATCCCGGGCAGTGCGAGCTGTGATGGCCACAGCCACCTGCAGGCAAGGGAGGACGAAAAGGCTGAGTTTCTTTGTGCACCTGACAGCACTTTGTTGGCTTTCTGACCGTGACAATGCAATGAGACCTCTGCTCTAGTAACCAGGGGAGTTTGGGGTAAATATGGACACATAAGGGGCTTTAGCAGAACTCAAAGGTTTGGGTAAAACCAAAACTGCTCCATCCCGTCTGGGAACAGCTTCCCATTGCTGATGGGCTCAGCTCAGGCACGGGATCTGCACATCACCTCCAAAAAAAAACGCTTTAACCATCCTGCGTGCCTTCAGCATGAACAGAAAAAGCAAACCTCTCTGAAAACCGTACTGGGTGGGTGAGCTGGAGCCGAAACAAGGCACCGGGCTGCGAGTCGCAGCGCACACACCACGGAACTGAAGGGCCGGGTACATCGGGGCTTTGTTTCCTGCTCACGGGCGAGGTGTCAGATTTAGGTCACCCTGCTCGGTGCTGAAGCTGCAGCTCCCACGAGCACCTTTCAGTACAGCTCTAACACGCTCTGACATGGCACGATGCAACGCGCAGAGAGCGTGAAACATCGCAGGAAGCGAAGGGAGCGGGCATCCACGAGCTGCTGTGCAGAACCGCTGCGTTTTAGGGCTGGTTTCCCCTGGGGGACCGCGGCTCCTGCAGCAGCCTTCCCGACGTCTCAGCGGTAACAGGATCCCGGGTCCCTCCTGCACTTAGAGCAAGACTTTTGCCGCCAGCATGAATAAAACCCCGAAGCATGGAGCCCAGGGAAGGGGGGAGCACACACACACACACATATATATAATTTCACCCACTCGGCAGATCCAGCTGTACAAAGTTCTCCCAGGCCCCTGGAAGCGAGGGGGTCGCCTTCCCCTCCCGGCTCACCTCTAGGGTTACGCAGCCCCAGCAGCGAGCACCAAGCCGGCCCCGAGCCCATTAGAGGGGTGTACAGTTACAGCAAGGCCCCCAAGCCCAACGCAGGATAAACCCACTTAAAAGGAGGAAAAAAGCCAGGTGTTTCGTCACCCCAGCCCCACCACCACAGCCACTCATTTCAATAGCCAGGAGAAAGCCGGGACACATCTCAGCGGGGCTGCCAAGCCCTGGTGCAAACCCCTCTGTGGGTTTGTGTGGGTGAGCAGTGGGACCCCCCGCAGCACAGCACCCCCCCCCAGCACAATGCATGGAAACCCGCAGCCACCTGCACGGAAAAAGCCAACCCGGGCTGTCTTTGCAACTTATTTATTTATGAAGTGTGAGGTAATGAAGAAAGTGCTAAATCCGACCACAGTGTTAACTCTAACGGTTCTCAGCAGGTCAGCGGGACCCGGCGGGGCCGTCCCTGCCAGCACCCCGGGGTGCCCCCCCGTCAGGCACAGCCAGGGATTTTAAGCCGCTGCTGGCCAGGGGGTGCTCACAAGGATGGGGGGAAACGAGGAAAAACCCCGGTTATTGCAAGAGGGTGGGATGGAGAGCTGCAAGGTGGGAAGCAGCCCCTGCCAGGACTCGGCTCAAGGGTCCAGCAGGAACGAGCCCCTTCCTGATCTCCATAAAGTGCAGCAGGACGGAGCCTTCCCCGACAGCAGGAGCCCCCCACCCCTCCAAAAAAGTTTTTTATATATATATAAAAAGCAAACTCTTTACCAATACTTCTCAAAAAGTGGTACAAAAATACAGTATAAAAACACAGCCTCCAGTATAAGACTCGCAGTTACAGCAGCAGGTTCTAGAACACAAAAATCCAAGACAAGCTACTGCACCAAGTGGTAGGAGAGTGAGGTACGGTCCAGCCGAGCCACGGGCACACCACGAGCAAGGGGATCATGGCTGGGACACTGCTCAGAGCGGGTCACATCTCGCTGGGACCCACCGAAGCAGATCGTGGTGCTTTGGGGTGTTTAGGCAGGGTGGGGGCCTGGTGCAGCTCCCAGCAGGGCTGTTAGTGACCAACAGCTGGGGGCTGCCAGCGAGGTGGAAGAGTGGAGCCCCTGAATCAGAGAAGTCACTCGAGGAAGCTTCACCAGGAGATGTCTCCCAGCTCCCAGTGCCCACAGGCAGCCTCTGGCAGGGGGGTGCCCCGGGGGGGCCCCACCTCCACCAGCAGCCACCCCCTGTGCAGCGGCCACCACGCGCTCCTGCCCCCAGGAGCGAGAGTTCGACAGCTAACCAAAAATCAAAAATGTGCAAATTGAGAGGGACGCGGGGCTGGTGCGAGGGCCAGGGTGGGGGCGGGTTCATGCTAGTGCCCCTTGAGGTGAGCAATCCGTCTGAGCAGCTGGCTCTGCTGCAGCCGCAGCTGCTGCTTCTCGGCCGCCATCCTCCTCTCGGCACTGATGAGCGACTGCAGGTACTCGGAGGACTTGCTCAGGATCACCACCTTGGGCGTCTTGGGGCAGCTGGCCAGCCCGGGCACCTGGTCCCGCAGCGCCAGGAAGCGCGAGCGCAGGTCGTTGCGCCGCTTGCGCTCCAGGTAGTTGTGGTTTTTCCTCTTGGCCACGTCCTCGCTGTCGGAGCCGGGGCTGGTGCCGGCTTTTGGCAAGCCGGGCTCGGGCAGCGTGCCAGGAGGGGTCGGCTCCGTGGTGCTGAGCGGCTCCTCCTCATCCTGCTGGGGTGGCTCCGGCTGGGGACAGGCGTCCGGCGGCGAGCGGGCGGCGTAGTTGTGCTGCTGCTGGTGGATGGAGATGTGGAAGCGTTTCATGCAGGGGTCCAAGGGGTCGGCGCGCAGCGTGATGGTGACCGGCTGCCTCAGGCTGAGCGACTGCCTCTTCTCCACCGTCACCACGTCGATCTCCTCGCCTTCTGCTCAGAAGGGACATGGCAAAGAAATCCCCGTGAGTTGGGAGCCCTTTGTAGGCTCCCCACAGCACCATTCACCCACCCCACCAAAATTCAGTGATGCTCTGCAAAAGAATCCAACAACCTCCGGCAGGGATTGCACGACTTGGGGGCTCTCGCAGTGCCCCCACACCGTAGGATTTCCCTGCACATCCCTGCACCCAGACCCCAAACCCAGGCTGGGGCCTCGCTTCTGCACCAGGAGCAGCGCGTGCAAAGCAGCAACAGGCGAGAAGTGCCCGAGCCCACCCGCGGGAGGGGTCAGCGGGATGCTGGGGGCCAGGACGGGCCCTAACCCCATGAGCAGCCCCCTCTGAGGCCCCCCCGTCCCATCGGGGCCGTGGGGCAGCGCTGCCCTTTGTTCCCCCGGCTCCTGCGACCCCCCCGGGGCCCTCCCAAGCCGCGAGCCCCCTCGCAGCCGGGGCCAAGCCCCCCGGGAGGCCAAGGGGAGCCCTTGTGGAGGGGGCAGCGGCGAGGCCCGAACACCCCCATGCCCCCAACCCGTCCCCGCGCGGCCCCGCCACGTGCGCGCCCCCGTGCCCCCCATTCCATTAATAAAAGTCGGGCCGCGAGGCCCCGCCCCCGGGCGGCTCCCATTGGCTGCCCGGCGGTGCCGGCCCCACCCCGCTGGCCCCCCATTGGCCCCCGCGCCCGCCCATCAGCGGGCATTGTTCGCACGCTGTTGCTTTTTGTTCGGCGCCCACGTGGCGAGGCCGGGCCGGGACCCCCGGCACCGGGACCTCCGCGCCCCCGGCCCCTGCCCCCGCCGGGCCGGGCTAAGCCTCTTAGAGCCGACCCGCTTACGGCCCGCGGGCCCCTAATGCCATTAGTGCCCGCCCCGCGCGGGGCGCCGCCGCCGGCAGATTTCTTAACGGGGTCACGGCACGGCGGGGCCGCGCTACCGGGCGGCTAACGGCGGGGGGGGGGCGGAACAGGACCGGTGCGCATCCCCCCCGGCCTCGGGAGGGGGCGTAGGAACGTCGGAGCTGGGGGCCCCGCACAGCCCCGGGGGTGCCGCAGCCGTCGGGGAGGTCCCGCCCCCCCCGAGCAGCCCGGGGCAGCCTCGCCTTTTGGCCCGGGGGGGCTGCGGCGGCTCCCACCGGCTGCTGAGCCCCCCCCGCAGGGCCGGGGAAAACTTTCCCGAGCGAGGCGTGAGCTCGCCCCTCGCCAGCGGGGACGGCGAGCGGGGGGCCGGGGGGAGCACGGAGCCGCCGAGCGGGATCCCCCGGGCAGGGGAGCGGCCGAAGGACCCCGCGTGGGGGGAGCCGGGCCCGGGGCTCGCCCGCAGCCCCCCGAAGGCGCTGCCCCGCTCCTTACCGGAGTCGCTCTGCCCCTCGGATCCCGAGGATGCGGGGACCTTGCTGTCAGCCAGCGGGCAGAGGAAGACGGCGGCGGGGTCCACGCAGTCGCTCACCGAGC